AGCTGACAAGTCAATGTTAACCTGATTAGATACATTATAGATAACATATGCTATGTGAAATTGTTTAAATGCATTTAATATAAAACATGTCAATGTAAAGTTGATTAAATACCTTAAATATAAAACAGGTCAATGTAAAGTTGATTAAATACCTTAAATATAAAATATGTCAATATGAAGCTGATTAAAAATGTACAGATGAAATATGTCAATATAAAGCTGATTAAATACCTTAAATATCAAATATGTCAACGTGAAGCTGTTTAAACATATTATAGATACAATATATCAATGTGAAGCTGATTAAAAATCATTACAGATAAAATGTGTCAATATGAAGCTGATTTAACACCTTTAATACACTGCCCTCTAAAAGTTCTGTTACATTTGCATTTTTCGATATATAATTACAGAAGTGCAGAATTATGCCAATCTTGTTTTTATTATCATTTGTGTATATCATTAACTAAGTTATTTGACAATTATTTCCGTTGATTTCATTATGTTAAGTTAACATAATGTTACAAAAATGAGTTAGTATGTAAATTGTAAAAACATTGTAATTCCATTAATATTTAGTGTATCCTCGACGAGCTCTAATCACAGCCTTTATACGTTCAGGCATACTCCTCACCAAAGTTCTACATATCCTAGCAGGTATTCCATCCTATGCAAGCTGTATGGCAGCTTCAAGTTCCCTTAGGTTTCTGCTCTTGTGTCGGCGAACTTCCAAACCCAGATCTCTCAACAAGTTTTCTATCGGGTTCAAGTCGGGGGACTGTGGGAGCCACTCCAAGGACAAACCATTGTTGACCTCCTTCCATTCGTTCACTATTCTTGCCCGGTGGCATGGGGCATTGTCATCCAGGAAGAAATAGTTGTTTCCATAGCCTAGCAGATGTGCTGATGGTACCGCGCTGTTTTCTAAAATGTCAATGTATTTGGTTCCGTTAAGATTTTCTTTCAAAGGAGTGAGGTATCGAGTCCCTCGGTAGAACATTGCCCCCCAAACTGTCACACCACCACCACCACCAAACTTAACTGTAGGCACCACACAGTCTTGCCGCAATTGTTCATTTGCCCTTCTTCTAACATACGTCCTGCTATCTGTTTGGAAAATGGTGAACCTAGACTCGTCAGACCATAAAACAGTCGACCAGTCCACCAATGTCCAATTTGCATGGTTCTGTGCAATTGTCAATCTTTTTCCGACGATGGGTAGCAGTCAAAAGTGTTTTTTTGACAGCAACACAACCTTTCAATCCCGCGTTGTGTAATCGTCTCCTCACTGTGGTATTCGACGCCACCACACCATTTTGGATCCACTCCGTTAGAAGCTCCAGAACGGCATCCTTGCGATTTCTGAGGCTGGCCCGGACTAATAATCAATCATCCCGAGGGGTAGAAATCCGTGGGCGGCCAGAACGTTCCCGATCCTCATAGTTCCCGGTATCTTGGAACCGTTTAATGGCCCTGTACACGTTCTGTCTGCAACAAAATAGAAACAGTTAATCAACTATAGACAGATTCTAATTAAGAAAAGTATGCAAATGCACCAAAATCCGCGATGAAAACATTCACTTACCTGCTGGTTACAAGAATCCTTGCAGTTTGGGCGGCAGCAATACCATTGCGATGGTAAAAAACACACAGGAATCGGTCTTCTCTTGTCATTCGCTGCATTTCTTCTCATGAGTATTTAGATTAAATACCGAGTACATTTAAGTAAATCTAACAATTCTCAAACATCTGATAGATTTTTGAGAATTTGGATAATCATTGATAGCAAATCATCTCAATAACATTATCTCCATTTTCATCAATAGAAAAACATTTATAGAAAATTATTTTTTCCAATAGTTTTGTCAAAGATAATTTATCAGCAAAATTGTACATATGTAACAGAACTTTTGGAGGGCAGTGAATATAATATGTCAGTGTGAAGCGGATTTAATACATTATATATATAATATGTCAATGTGAAGCTGATTTATTACATTGTATATAAATTATGTCAATGTAAAACTGATTTGATTGAACAATGATAAACTCCGTCTATGTGAAGCTGGTTTAATACATTTAAGATAAATATGTCTATGTGAAGCTGATTTAATAAATTAAATATAAAATATGTTAATGTGAAACTGATTTGATTGAACAATGATAAACTCCGTCTATGTGAAGCTGATTTAATAAATTAAATACAAAATATGTCAATGTGAAACTGATTTGATTGAACAATGATAAACTCCGTCTATATAAAGCTGATTTAATACATTAAAGATAAAATATGTCTACGTGAAGCTGATTTAATACATTATATATATAAAATATGTCATTGTGAAAGTTAAAATTTGTCAATGCGAAGCCGATTTGATACATTGTCATTGAAGATAGAACATGTCAATGTGACATTAAAAGACAAAAAGATAAAAAAAAAATGTTAATGTGAATCAAGTTTAACACGAAGATAACATATGTCAATGTGAAGCTGATTGAATTCATTGGTTCAGTATTGGGACAAACGTTAATAATTATTCTGTAAATATTTCTTTTACTCTCAAAATGGATATGCATGACAGCACTCAGGAACATTGTAATCATAACACAAATTTACGCAAACATTGACTGGCGGTATACCCGTTTCAAAATTGATTTACTATTTACGATTACACTCAATATGCATTGCACAACAATCTGAAATAAAGCTGATTTCAAATTTTATCAATGTATAAGAGATCCGCGAAATATCATTAGCGGGTGTACATCGGACCCTGCGAATAAGTTCTGTAAGCACAAACGCGAAATGTTGTCACCGCACATTTTAAGCGTAATGCATACAGCATCTTCTCCGGTTGAAATGAAAGACAACAATAAGAATCAATACTATTTAATGATAACCCTATTACGTTCGATGACAGGAAAGATATAAGATGTTAGCCACCTGTAAATTATTTATTGGAAAGTATGCTATGTTCCTGTCCCTAACACTTAGAGGGTGATATCGTGTCTTTGGTATCTTAGTACATTATTTACGTAGTCCAGCGTCTACTAGCTACCCAACCCTTTTTAATGAACATGACCACGCGACAACAGATTGTTCTCACGTTGTACTTGGTCGTCATAATATGAGTTGTGCCTAGAATTTTAACTTTTTTTTAACACGAATATTCGGAATAAGATTCACCAGTTTGGTTTGAATGATAAAGTCTACGTTTGTTTTTTTGGACACAATAGGTATTGAAAACTTATTTTGCGAGTTTTTAAAACGTCTGTCTCCTCTGTCAAGCAAAGAGTATAAAAGACCGGTGTCTCGACTCTAAACCAGTAAAGTCAGCTGTCAAAAATCACAGGCATTTCGCCCAATTGCACTCAAATACTGCAGGCAGTCAGGGGAACGGGTAACATGTTTACCCATTCCACCCCTTAGTATGTTTGACAAAGGAAACAGACGATTTCGAAAGATTGCAAAATAAGTTTTCAATTCCTGTTTGTGTTAAAAACAAACTTAGCTTTTATTTTTTACATGAACTTTTTAAAAGTCATGCAAGGAAGCTTAGTGCAAGTTGATGCTTTAAGAAGTCCATTTATTCTGGCACGTTGTGCATGATACACGTATATTTATTTCAAAAATATCTGTTGTAGATAACAATAGTAAATTTGTAACATTACGTAGGCTTTCATTGGCGTTCTCCCGCTTTAGTGTATTTCCCCTGTATATCATTGTAATACGTTAGGTATGAAATGTTCAATAGATCTGTATGTCTCATATTGTGTTATTGGCAAATATCTATTTACAACTCTCAGTGAAAAAATGGTTCGGCGGATTGATAAATGTTTCAAATATGACGCCAGATTACTTTATTTATTTCACGGTTCAGCAAGATAAAAATGTGACGACAGCCAGTGCTTGAGTCGATAAGCTTCATGACTTTGGTTTTCTGATCATGAACTTTCCTTTTCTTGATAGCGATATCCCGGTTCCCATACTAACGTGTTTACAAATCGCAGTTTGATCGGTATTCAAGACCTTGCATCAATATCATAACATCCTTAATAGAGGTCAGCTGCTAGCAGACACATTTGCAACACAGGGGTTCCGAAGATGTAGGCGAATGAGGACTATGGGCTAGTTTTACGTGCGCCATCATCATCTCATAGGGAAATGTGCTTGTTCTTTGTGTGATATGAAGGTGATTTTTATTAGGCTCCTAATCGCGCCATGCTGTTATGTTGTCAATACCCGAGTTATTAATGTGAAGACACAACATTACTAGATTTACATGGCTTGTGTCATCGATGAAGCAGAAAACGCTTATCCTTCTGGAACGCCTTGTCTTATCCTCCTTGTTCTTTTTGAAGGGTCTCCATGTACATATTTAAATTGTTCGTATTCTCTCTTAGTTTTATCAATTTTAAGTTCACTTTATGTTTTTTGTTTGCACTTCGGTTATCTCTTGTTTTTTATGTATACGTACATGTTAATGGAGTTCCGCATACTTTGGCAGCATTTCATACTATGTTAACATTACGTCATGATTCCGTTCTTGACGTCATTTTGCCAATCATTATTGTTGATATATATATTTTCGGAGCGCAAAAACTGAGAATAGATTTATAAAAAAAGCATTGAACGCCCTTTCCCCAACATAGCCGGTATAGTTTCATGTTTAATATTTTAGTCATTAATGATCTGATATATGCTTTTACATATCTTTCATATTTTTAAGTATTGTTATCAACAGTACACACAAGATTCCTGGAACAGCCTAATGTCACCAAAATGTTTTCTCTAAACGTTTATCTCAAGTTCGAGGCTGGAGGGGAAGCTTCAAGATGACACTGAACGAGTTACATTTTTTAAACGTTTTCGCAAAAATGCTCTACCATGTGTTAAAGGAATTTTAAATAAAAAAAACTTCATCAATCTCATATGAAGTGGAAAATTAAGTAAGATCCTATTCATACAGTCTCAATGTTAATATTGTATTACCTCGCAGTGTAAACAAGAGGGAGAGAAGCCAGGTCGCTGTCAAACATGCGATTCCACCGTAAGTACAAAACACACCTCTCTCGGACGTAAACAGATAAATCACACCAATGTTTGAACGCCCGACATTTAGCAAATATAATCGATCCTCTCGCGAACCTTTCTCTTAGAGATTTCCCCCAATTTATCCCCAGGTAAAGCCTTTCCGACAATAAATAAAGGGTTTTATTTGCTGCTATTTCATGTATAATGTAGTTAAAAAAGTATTTCACACACAGGTAACCAGCAATGTTATTGAATGTGTACAACATTATAACCAAATATGTAATTTGTGACTAACTGGTTACTATATATATCTAGTATCATGTATTGAATTGGTGTTATTCAATCATGATATCTCACTGTTTTTAGACTGCTAAATTTCTACTGGACGAAATGAATTTACGTTTTACCACGATTACTTTGATATGATAGTAAAATATCCACGGTACTAACACATTGAAGTACATTTTTTTTGTGTTCTGCAGTCGACTGTGAAAGTAAACTACGGTTACCTTAAACATGCACTGTAATTTGTTTTCTCCAATATAACATTAAAATGGTGACCATGCAGGCGACTTAAATCTCTTAGAATCACCAGGATCACATCCTCAACAGTTACAGCTTTGATCGAACGGAACAATAATGAAATATAAACCTAGTATCTCTTATATAATCTTTGTATGCATTTTAATAATTAATAACCATTAAGGGTGGATGAAGTCACGACAGGCAATTAACTGTACCAACTCTAGCTTCTTATTACTGCAAAATTGGTAAATTTCGCGGAGGGGGATTCATTTCGCTGTATTACCATGAATATCAAAATATAAAAAAAAGCCGTTTACGCTTTTGGTACCGCATAATGAATATTATACGCCAATTAAAAGGTTCTTCCCTTTTAGATGACTACAACATCAGCGTGATTTTTGTATAACTGATAAGCCAAAAGAAAATAATTTACCAAATAAAAAGGCACATCATCAGAAAAGTGTATCTACGAAGCAAAAATTAGTTACATAATCTCCAGATATCGAAAAATGTACTTTGTTGCCTATAACATCATTAGTGTAAATATATCTTTGTCATTTCAGTCCTTATAACGGTATATCTGGCAGTAGCCTATGGACTGTCACAATCGACTGCAGCACGAACGACAATCACAAAAAAGATGGCTACTACAACCACACGTCTCACAACCACACCTACTACAATAAAACCTTCTACATTTACACGAATTACAACAGCACATACTGCAATAAAACCTCCCACAACACCTACTACAACACCTAGTACAACCACACCTACTACAACACCTACTACAACACCTACTATAACCACACCTAGTACAACACCTACTACACCCACTACAACACCTACTACAACACCTAGTACAACCACACCTACTACAACACCTACTACAACCACACCTACTACAACCACACCTAGTACAACAACACCTACTACAACAACAACAACTACACCAAACCTACTACAATCACACCTACTGCAACCACACCTACTACAACCACATCTACTACAACACCTAGTACAACCACACTCACTAAAACACCTACTACAACGACACCTGCTACAACCACACCTACTACACAACTACACCAAACAACCACACCTACTACAACCACACCTACTACAACAACACCTACTACAACAACAACAACTACACCCAAACCTACTACAATCACACCTACTGCAACCACACCTACTACAACACCTTATACAACCACAGCTACTACAACACCTAGGACAACCACACCTACTACAACAACACCGACTACACCCACACCTACTACAACAACACCGAATAAAACCACACTTACTACAACCACACCGACTGCAAACACACCTACTACAACACCTACTTCAACACCTAGTACAACCACACCTACTACAACAATACCGACTTCAACCATATCTACTACAACACCTACGGCAACAACACCTACTACAACCACACCTACTTCAACACCTACTACAACCACACCAACTACAATACCTAATACCACCACACCTACTCCAACAATACCGACTACAACCACACCTACTACAAAAACACCGACTACAACCACACCTACTACAACACAGAGTACAACCACACCTACTACAACAACACCTAGTACAACCACACCTACAACAACAGCTAGAACAACCACACCTACTACAACACCTAGTACAACCACACCTACTACAACACATAGTACAACCAAACCTACTACAACAACACCTACTACAACCACACCTATTACAACAACACTTACTACAACCACACCTACTACAACCACACCTACTAAAACACCTAGTACAACCACACCTACTACAACACCTAGTACAACAACACCGACTACAACCACACCGACTACAACTCCACCGACTACAACAACAACTACAACACCTAGTACTACCGCAACTACTACAACCACACCTACTACAACCACACTTACTACAACCACACCCACTACAACACCTACTACAACACCTACTACAACACCAAGTACAACCACACCTACTACAACACCTACTACAACACCTACTATAACCACACCTAGTACAACACCTACTACAACCACACCCACAACAACACCTACTACAACACCTAGTACAACCACACCTACTACAACACCTACTACAACACCTACTACAACCACACCTACTACAACACCTAGTACAACCACACTCACTAAAACACCTACTACAACGACAACTGCTACAACCACACCTACTACAACCACACCTAGTACAACCACACCTACTACAACAACAACTACTACAACCAAACCTACTACAATCACACCTACTGCAACCACACCTACTACAACCACACCTACTACAACACCTACTACAACCACACCTACTACAACATCATTGACTACAACCACACCTACTAGGACAAAACAGCCTACAACTACACCTACTAAAACACCTAGTACAACAACACCTACAACAACACCTAAAACAACACCTAGTACAACAACACCTACTACAACAACACCGACTACAACCACACCGACTACAACCACACCAACTACAACCACACCGACTACAACCATACCTACTAAAACCACAACTACAGCACCTACTACAACCACATCGACTACAACCACACCTACTACAACACCTAGTACAACCACGCCTACTACAACCACACCCACTACAACCACACCGATTACAACAACACCTACAACAACACCTACTACAACCACTCCTACTACAACACCTAGTACAACCACACCTACTACAACCACACATACTACAACCACACATACTACAACCACACCGACTAAAACCACACCGACTACAACCACACCAACTACAACCACACCGACTACAACCATACCTACTAAAACCACAACTACAGCACCTACTACAACCACATCGACTACAACCACACCTACTACAACACCTAGTACAACCACACCTACTACAACCACACCCACTACAACCACACCTACTACAACAACACCGACTACAACACCTACTACAACATCTACTACAACACCTAGTACAACCAGACTTACTACAACCACACCTAGTACAACCACACCTACTACAACCACACCTACTACAACCTCACCTACTACAACAACTTCGACTACATTAATACTTACTAAAACCACATCGACTAAAACCACATCTACTACAACCACACCTACTACAACACCTACTACAAACACACCTACTACAACCACACCTACTACAACCACACCGACTACAACAACACCTAAAACAACAACACCTACTACAACCACAAAAACCACACCTGCTACAACCACACCGACTACAACCACATCGACTAGAACACATACTACAAAACCTAGTACAACCACATCTATTACAACCACACCTACTACAACCACACCCACTACAACTACTACTACAACACCTACTACAACACCTAGTACAACAACACCTACTACAACACCTTATACAACCACAGCTACTACAACACCTAGTACAACCACATCTACAACAACACCTGGTACAACCACACCTACTACAACACCTAGGACAACCACACCTACTACAACAACACCGACTACACCCACACCTACTACAACAACACCGACTAAAACCACACTTACTACAACCACACCGACTGCAAGCACACCTACTACAACACCTACTTCAACTCCTAGTACAACCACACCTACTACAACAATACCGACTTCAACCATATCTACTACAACACCTACGGCAACAACACCTACTACAACCACACCTACTTCAACACCTACTACAACCACACCAACTACAATACCTAATACCACCACACCTACTCCAACAATACCGACTACAACCACACCTACTACAAAAACACCGACTACAACCACACCTACTACAACACAGAGTACAACCACGCCTACTACAACAACACCTAGTACAACCACACCTACAACAACAGTTAGTACAACCAAACCTACTACAACACCTAGTACAACCACACCTACTACAACATCTAGTACAACCACACCTACTACAACACATAGTACAACCACACCTACTACAACCACACCTACTACAACACCTACTACAACCACACCTACTACAATCACACCTACTACAACACCTACTACAACACCTAGTACAACCGCACCTACTACAACCACACCTACTACAACCACACCTACTACAACACCTACTACAACACCTACTACAACCACACCTACTACAATCACGCCTACTACAACACCTACTACAACACCTAGTACAACCACACCTACTACAACATCTATTACAACACCTACTATAACCACACCTAGTACAACACCTACTACAACCACACCCACTACAACACCTACTACAACACCTAGTACAACCGCACCTACTACAACCACACCTACTACAACCACACCTACTACAACACCTACTACAACACCTACTACAACACCTACTACAACCACACCTACTACAACACCTAGTACAACAACACTCACTAAAACACCTACTACAACGACACCTGCTACAACCACAACTACTACAACCACACCTAGTACAACCACACCTACTACAACAACAACTATTACAACCAAACCTACTACAATCACACCTACTGCAACCACACCTACTACAACCATACCTACTACAACCACACCCACTTCAACAACACCGACTACAACCAAACCTACTACAACCACACCTACTACAACTACTCCGATTACAATAATACCTATTACATCCACCCCTACTACACTTACACCAACTACAACAACATCGACTACAACAAAACCTACTACAACACATAGTACAAACACACCTACTACAACAACACCTACTACAACCACACCTACTACAACAACACCTACTACAACAACACCTACTACAACAACACCTACTACAACCACACCTACTACAACACCTAGTACAAGCACATTCACTAAAACACCTACTACAACGACACCTGCTACAACCACACCTAGTACAACAACAACTACTACAACCAAACCTACTACAACCACACCTACTGCAACCACACCTACTACAACCATACCTACTACAACCACACCCACTACAACAACACCGACTACAACCAAACCTACTACAACCACACCCACTACAACACCTACTACAACCACACCCACTACAACACTAACTACAACCACACCTACTACAACAACACCTACTACAACACCTACTATAACCACAACTACTACAACACCTACTACAACCACACCTACTACAACCACACCAACTACAACCGCACCTAATACAACAACACCTACTGTAACCACACCTACAACAACGACACTTACAACGACCATACCTACTACAACTACGCCTTTTGCTATCAAACCAACCACACTTACTCCTGGTAGCTCTGTTATTTCAGCAGGTAAGAGTTAGAAATGTTAACGTTTATACCTCAACTGCCCTCAATTAAATAAATATTGTAGTGCCATTTTCCTATATTTTAATATGAGTATGATAGTTATTCCTTTACATTTTTTTCTAATGAATTAAAATGTTATTTTATCAATAATTGTGATATATACATGCGATCAATGCAAAGCTCACCAGTACAAACTTATCGATTACGCTCCGAAAGATCTATGATAGCGTGACGTCACATGTGCGAAAAGATAGGTTACGAAACAGGGAAGATTGTTGATTGTTTTCATTTAAACAAAATGAAATTTGAACGCAAAAGTAGCTTCTGTGAAATAAATAGTTTGTATCATGCGAATATGTATTCTAAATCAATTTGGTGGTTGGGTACACAGTGAATGGCTCATTTGCTTTTCACCAAGGCGCCCGGGGTTCGATCAGACGTGTAAAGGGCTGGGGTCACCTGCCTGATCACGTGGGTTTTCTCCGGGTACACCGGTTTCCTCCCACATAAAGACCCCCGCACGCCAACTTTTAGGCCAACAAGAGAGTTTAATATAAGTTGAAAAAAGTTGTTGTCGCCTGAGAAATGTAGTTGAGGTGTACCAAAATGGGGATTACTTAATCACAAAGGGACGTTTTGATCCATGAAAGAAGCATTTTTTCAATTTTCACTACATTATACATACATGATTTGCCTATATTGTTGCCTCTTAAATCGCAGATTATCTTTATCGCGCGAAGTACATTTGTATTAAAACACCATTGTCATAAACATTTAATTTATGGTGTCGTTTTGCAAGCTTAAATCGTGCCAAATTATAATTGCAAAGTCAACAGAGACCAACCTATTCAATGGGTTTTCAGTTTCATTCAACTGGTCACATGGTATGAGCATAATTGAATTATTTATGAAATAATAGGAACTGATTATTTCTTGATTACTTTATATTTCAGAACAAATAATCATTGCAGTAAAGTTGACGGTCGTTGTTGATATTGTGTTTCCCGAAGACTTGAAGGACAAATCGTCTGCTCTTTATCAAACTTATAGCGAGTCATTCCGTAACATGGTGAGTGAAGAAGTATATTAAATATATTATAATATACTACTTACAAATATATATATATATATAAAAAAGTAGAAAATTGACAAATACTTTTACGCTTCCACTTATTGGAGGTATCGCTGGCTCACTGTCTGTGACATAGCCCCGTTCGCGTATCCTGTTCAACCAGTTTGTCTGTTTTTAAATGTAACGTTTTCGGGTATAAACACTGGCGGACCTGCAAATGTTTATGCAGCCCTTGCAAGGGTTTGTCAGAGCTCGCCTGAAAGCAGCATCAGATTACTAAGTCTGACCTTATTAAACAACGAACGACTCCGGCCCAACCGGTTCAACCGTTTGGACCGCGATAAACGAATGCGGTCAACATTGGTCGATTACCTACAGCTACACCACCTTCAAGTCTTTTATTATTATTTATTATTTGATGGTTTTACGTCCGCTATAACGGCCTTGCGGCTTTTCAGTAGACGAGAAAAAATTGAAAATGGAAAATAGAACAAAGGGACAAAGCATGAAGAGAAAGGAGAAACTAATTTCCTATTAAACCGTTTTAATATATCGCTCTGCAAATAATATTTACATAATATGAAATTGTTTATATTTTTATTTTGTTTTATATGTATCTATTTTTTATATGTATTTCTTATACTATTTTTGTCTGCGACGAGTTATTTTGGTAGACAACATTGTCGGTACAATTTCTAGAGGGGTTCTCGCGAAGTTTTTTTTTCATTTGATAACTTTATCCCTGATAATAACAGACTGTTGACTAGCATTTCTTATCCAGTATCTGTCTCATTATCCCACATATACCATCTTTGACTTATGTTTACAACATGTACCTGGTTGAATGTGAGTGATCAGTTATGTCGCAGTTTTCTGAACGCCGTGCTAATGCCGCGGTCACATCTTACGGTCACGCACGTAGTTGACCGTAGTGGGGGATGACCGAAGTTGACTGTGGTACAAATTGTAGACCGTAGGCGATCTTAGTAAAACGTATTAAACGTAGTTAGACGTAGTTCAACATAGTTCAACCCTTAACCCTATTTAGCCCCACTTGACCCTAGTCACAGTACTATTAACGTACTTCAAACGTAGTCCAACTCTAGCAGTTGTCCCTATTTGACCCTACTTGACCCTAGTGTTAACCATAGTGCCATGATACAACGGTCAACTACGATAAACACTATAGTCAAGTAGGGTCAATTACGGCCAAATAGGGTCAACTATGTTCATACTACGGTGACAGTAGGGTCCTGGCATCTAAATTCACCGTAGAAATAGTATTTTGAACATGTTTAACAATTTTTGCCTAACCACGGCTAAATCATGGGTTTCTTGAAGTTCAAAGTACGTTTATAACTACGTGTGACCGTAAGATATGTGACCGCGGCTAAAAACGAACAACGTTGGTTACAGATTGTTTTCCTTACATTACTTACATCCCCCCATTATTTCATTTAAGTTCCGTCTTCTAGATGATTGTTCTAAACATAATTTAGCCTTCGGATTGTGCTGAGTGTTAACATATGTTCTATGTGTTCTGTTTCTTCAGATTTATACCAAGTACAATGGCACAGATGGGTTTGAGAGGGTGACTATCATCGGATTTACGTGAGTATTTAACTCCTCAATAAGATTTCTACTTCCTATCGCTTCCTACACTTTTCGTCAGCGTCATAATTTTAATCTGATTGCGAGATGATGTTACCAGGAAAATCCCTGATCTAATGTCCCTCGTTCCACCTTTTTTTCAAACATATTAGAGGTCCCCTTGCTATGCCCCATTTTCTTAAAAAATATTTATACATTTCCCTCAGTTCAGCCCAAAGCCCCATTAAATCGACACTATTTCTCTGCAATGTGGCAGTATAACGAGGTTTTAATGTATATAGTTTTGGACGGTAAATGCAATTTTAATTGAAATGTTGTGAAAATAATCATTTCAACAACAACTTTATTTTCTTTATTCTGATTCTTGAACACAACTATGTTTTGTATAAATTAAATACGGTTTTCACATTGTTGTATTTTGTAAGATCCCACGATGTTCTGACGGTTTTGTTTGTGGTTCAGTTTAGTTACCATTACATGACACTATATCAAATGCTGAGTTAATTTTTGTATTAAGTTGCGAATAGAGTTCATGTACCTGCCGTAAAAGTACCAGACATGCTATTTATATATTGTATTATTATGAAGTTATGTCAATAAAGCGACAACATCCTGTATTATTCCACGTTGTAGGAACGGTAGCGTCGAATGTAACTATAGACTTAGATTTGCTGCCGGTAAGTCGAAAGACTCAATCCTGCAATCCGTCAAACATAATAAATGGGCAAAAGAGAAAGTGAGCCTGCCTGGTTACAAAACAGTTGGCATTGATCAGTCAAAGACAAACACAAAATGGCAGATAGATTTAGAAAAAGGTAAGTAAGAACAGTAATGAATAATGTATTATCTTTTATAACATTAATGCATAAGTGAAATATATTTGATCATAACTTTCGTAAAACATTTTATGTATATAGATATAGCGTTGTTCGGTGATGATCTGAGTTGAATTTTTGAAGAATTATTGATGGTAGTGTAGTTTATTGTTTTCTCTCTTTGAAGCATAGGATATCTGATTTCACAAAAGAAAACATTGCATTGACTAACACTGACTACTAACAACAGCATTACTGCATGTTTCATGTTTACATTTATATATATATATATATATTTAATTATTAATTGAAAAATATCCACTATAACTCATTTGATTCGTTGTTTTCAGCGAAAAACTCAAGGATTTGTGATTTACAAGATAACTGCAATGAATACCAAATTTGCAAAGAAGGTGATAAATCAAATTACCCTTTCATCTGTAATTCGAAATGCACGTACGATTTATGTGGTGACTACGGACTTTGCTTACTTCATCCGTCAGGGAACACAAGGTGCATGTAAGTAACGTCGGTCTGCTTGTTGATTTCAATGACAAAGCTACTGTATATCTCGCCGAACTTCATGCATGACTGTTATAGAGGGTTTTCGAGGCACCTATCCCCTTTAGCTGTATTTTACATAATATATACCGGAACACATTAGACACGGATTTTTCATTCTGTTTAAATATGAAGTGTTGAGTGCTGAACGAAAGACACGGCCATGTTGTGCTGTGAGATGTAACCCTGTTTAGCTTCTGCATCTACATCTACAAACTAAATTTTCAAAAAGATGGTTCATTTCTTCGTACGTCTGGTGTGGATTTTTTAATCAAAATCGCCGAATTTAAAGAAGAATCCAAACAAATAATTGATGTTGAAATTAAACGTATACTTCTATGCATAACTAGTAAAAACGCTATAAATTGCAGACGTCGCATTACGTCGTGAGAAACTGTTCTGTCACAGGTTGATGGTAGTTTCAGAAAGTAATTTTATTGAATTTGATTATGGTTTCCTGTGACGTCTGAAAAAGCAGCGAATCGACTGAATTAATGACTGATACAGTCGGTTGAATAAGTTCACAAGCTCACAAATTCAAAACAGTAACACATAAAGACCTTATAATACGATGGCATTGCGATAAAATGATATAGAGCATTTACTTCCATTTGAAAAGAATACAATAACCTTTATAAATATCGCACAAATTATTGTCCTTTCTTAAATCATCTGTATCCTTGCGTCATCGGTTTCCGCCCCCTTATGAAGTAGCCGCAATTTTGTATTCATATCAACAGAAAACTGTTGAAAATGTCTATGACTATCACAGACATGTATACAATGTACTAATGGAAACAAAATATAAGCAACTGAAAACTGTCTTTTAAACTGTATTTAGTTTTCAAAGAAAGACAACTCAAATGCACTAACAAGAATTTATCTACAGTGGCTTCGATGAATATTTTAGAAGGTTCTTCTTCAAAACAATTAGCAATACAACTTTTTTCCAAATTGCACATTTCTTTTAATTTTCAATATATCGACAGAAACAAATTAATATGAATTAAAGTTAATTTGATTTAATACATTTATTTATAAAAAAAATAATTGTGTAGACTAATATCAGTTTTCTTTGAAACTAAATGATTTTTTTTTCTTTTCCATCCTTGTTGTTCCACAAATTTTGACGTTAAAAAGTGTTTTTAATTTTGTATCAATTCTTTGTATATGTATATACATATTTTATATACTAAATACGATATTTTATCACCATGTATTTTGCATTCAAGTGATGTGGATAAAGTGGCAGAAATCGCTAATATCATAAAGATTTATCGCTAAAAAAACAAAGTAAGGAATCTTAAATTTAAAGTCCTATACATTTTAATTTAAATTTTCATTGTTATTTGACCGTTATGACTTTCGAGTTATGTCCCCTGAATTACGATATCCGCTTTATATCTGGGGTGTTTACTAACCGATTCACTTAAACACAAGAATAATTACCATAAACACATAACTTTGATAAAAACTTTCGTTATATCCGGCCGTAATGTATGGTGTTTATCCTTGTGATTTTATTAAATCAAGGGTATATACATTCAATTATGTTGTAGTTCACTCTTTCAATTCCAACAGTTGATATCTTTCTTCTTTAAACTAATCACCTCCAATTTTTTCTTAGCGCCTCACTTAGCAATACCTCACTTTTGGCTTTAACGCAGAGCGTTCTTCTAGGTGAGGAAGGTAATGGGTTCTGTCCCCAGGCTAGGTCATACCAAATTCCTTAAAAATGGTAGTTGTTATTTCCTGCTTAACTTTAAGCATTAAGGGTTATTGCAACAACTGATTCATCCATTGTCAGTATGGTGAGACCGGACGAAATTCTGTGCTGGGTGCCTTCGGCATAGTAACTCAGTGAGATAGCACTTTAAAGTCTGCATCAGATCCGCGCTATCACAAGGAGGCTAATACACCAATGAACCTTGCCTCCAGCACACACACACAACTCACATGGAAGTACGTCCTTGAATGACATTAGCTGGTGATAGAACATTAAACCCTATACAATCAACCAACCAACCAAATATTTTTTACATTTCAATCATTACAACTGCCAAACTAATCTGTGACGAGCGTATGGTGTACCGCTTCATGGTTCAACTTTGTATTACAGATGCCTCCCAGACACCGTATTCGAGCATTACAGTGATAGCTGCTTAAAGTCTAGTGACCTCACAAACATTCTGGTAGTTACCGCAGGGTTAGGAGGAGCAGTTATCATCGTCATCGTAGTCGTCATCGTATGTGTATGCAAGAAAAGAAGGACAACAAAGAAAACCCATAGTAGTACAAGGCAAGTAGTATTCCATCGGACAGACGTCAAGGAATTTGAAACGTAAATTAACATTGTTACTTTCAGGATTGTAAAAAGTGGTCGTTTGTATTTGAAATATGGATTTTTGAATTGAAAGTAAACTTTACGCTTATCAATGCAATTAAAATAGTGTAATCCGTACGCATCTATGTTCATGATGTTAACGTGTAATGTACGCACTGAAAAAAAGAATTAACCCGGAGAAAAAACGTTAGTGAAAACTTCTGATTGTTATACATTGAATGTATGTTCTGACCCCTTGATTTTTTTAAAGTGTATATCATAAATTATCGAGTGTAGTTATAAATGAAATGAAATTAAATGAAATGAAATTAAACGAATGAGCACCTATACTCAAAGTATTCGTGTAATATATCTATAATTAAATATAAATTCTCGTTTGTATTAAATCCGTTTCTTTTAGCTTTTCTTTAAAGGTATGCATACAATTTGCTGTTGAAATGAATTAACAAAATGAATCATTAAAATTTATTTTCATTACTCAAACGCTATTTTTTAAGACTGTTTTGCTATCAAACACTCTGATGATACTCAAAGGGGAGATAACCCGGTAAAGCTTGAATATATTTGATCGTGTTGACGTTTTTCTACAGACATAATCGAGATTATGGCAGTGAAATCAGTATGCCAACAAGAATGGAGAACTTGAGGGCCAATAGGGCGTACAATATTGGGACCGGGGACCGGGGACCACCAAGACGGGAACACATGGTGTGGAGTTCCGAAAATGAACGCCCGGCAGCCTACTATAACGGCTGGGAAAGAATCAGCGACCAACCAGTTGTACCGGTAAAGTCAAAGACCTCACTGAACAGATTTGCGATTTTCACAATAGTTTATTAAAATACAAATAGCGTACTTTTACACTATTTTTAATAGTGTTTTTATAACCTATTTTAAATTATTGAATTATTTTTTAAGTTCGCTGTTGTAAGTTATTATTGTTTTTTCATTTTCCCCAAAGTGTCCTCAGCTCCTGAAATTGTCGTTATCGGTCGATTTCGTCCGATTCAGAGGACACAGTACTCTTTTTTCTGTAGACGGAATTTCACAATAGTTTTTTAAAATACAAATACAAAAAAATGTTTAACACTCTTTGTATTTGTGTTTCAATTGATAATTTTGAAAAGTAATGCACATTTTTTTAACAAAAGTTTAAGTTCGTTGTCATAATAATGTTTTCTGAAGTTATAAATAAAAAAATATAAAATAAAAACGATAGACAGTTGATAAATATTAATTCAAAATCATACTTAATCTTACGATTATAAGGTAATTATCATATTACACAACATTGTTTTGAATATTTTTAACCATACGTACCTAAAATTGACAGAACACATCATCTACTAGAGTAAAATGAATTAAGAACGGTCTCTTACTGTTTTTTTAAAAGTCTCGGATGTATTTGCCAATAGAAATATCGAACCCGCCACGTGACTACCACACTTCAGCGGCACATGAGCATAGAAGACCCAAATACGTTGAACCCGGTGACTCGTACAGATTATTAGACACAGAAAATCAGGTCAGTCTAACATGAAATACACCTACCTACACGTTGATCAGATGGTGTAGTTGTAATTTGGTAAATTTAAAAAAAAAAAAAAAAAAAAAAAAGTTTCATATGATTAACAGATACATGTATATGAAACAAATGTTATGCTCAGAGTCATGCAAAGAAAATTAATATATTCTGTGTTTTTCGAATTAGGACTTTTTAAGGTGCTACTGTCACTATTGTGATATATTTGTTTTAAACCTTTCAAAACAAATCTTTCAACAAAATCCCATGTTGCAATACCTTTGACAGAATTGCAGGTGTAATATGAAATATTTACATTGCATTTACGTTACTCTCAGCTAGAAAAACTTCTTTTGGTTGCTTCATCTTCTATATAGATAGGAAGACTCTTGATTGGAACTATTCTTCGCGATTATAACTGATGCAGTCGTATTTTACCTTGAGAATCTTGGACTATTCTTGAATTTGTTTTTAATGACATATACTACTTTCAATGGAAGGATGATTTCATATGCGTAACAAAATCTTATTTTAAAACATTTAAGTAATTCCTTATATGCAAATTAATGAATAGAGTACACGTATTAAGTTTTGCTGTATAAACATATATATATATATATGGACAATGATAATTCAACCAACCTAAATTGAGCAAATTGTAACATATGAGTGACTTTATTCAACCTTGGGTAATGTCATTTGTGACATTCGTGTATATTGAATTACACAATTTCAATAAACTGCGTGTTTTCTGATTGCGAGACTCAAATATGTCATGAGTATCTTAAACTGTTAAATAATGTGAATAATTATTCAGTCATGATTTTGTTTAAATCCTTAGCTTTATATCCGACGCCCAAGGTTGTCAACACGACACAGCGACATGTTTGGGTATGTGTGCTGTTATTTTTAGTAAATATACTGTATAATGGTAAAGAATGATATATCTTACCTGTAAAATGTTTATTGCAGTAAAAATGACTATGCAGTGCAATACCTTCTGGTGTATCGTTCTTGATAAAATAGATTTAGCATGTTGTAGCATTTAGCGTTAAGCAGCAATAGCAATGGTATTGAACAACTGTTCACTAAATCCGATTCTGCATAAAATCATTCGTTCAAAATTTGATAAAAACTAATTTTGCTGTTCTCTATATTACAGGTACCAGGAACGATTCGTTTAAGATGTGTGGATGACTTTTGTCGGGTATTTAACAGTATAACATTGCTTTGCGAATTTATTAACCTGCGACATTATTGATGGATTCTCATAGAAAAGTTTGTTCATGATTTTCTGTGGTCAGGCGTGTGAACATTTTAGACACACTATAATTAACAGGTTAGCAATTTAGCTAATTAGTTGTCGATAAAGCTTATTAATTTTGTCTGTGATATAAAAACGATGGTCTAAAGACGAGGACAACAGGTGTGTGACATCGGTCACCTTACCAATGGAAGTTCCACTGCAGCACTGCAATATATGAAATGTATGTGAACGGCACTGCAGCGCTGCAAAGAATGGAATGTCTGTGAACGGCTGGCTTACTAGCTATCTTTCAAATGGTAGAATCGGATATGTCTTGCCTGCTGGACAGGAGAACCAGAATAAGAGATGCCGCTTGGATAAGCTGATTTAATGGAACTGATTACCTGGTATATTTGAACGGATGTTAAAACTATAAAAAGCCAAGTATTCTCAATTCAGTAGTAAGGTAGTTCAGCGATATATTGTTATACATTCTTAACATTAATATGTTTCTAATATATGCGTGGCTAAAAAGTCAATATTTATCGATATCGTGTATTGTTCATATATCCTGAATTACGGATAAGGCGCGACTTATTATCCTGTGAGAAATATTTTCTTTTGTCTTTTTTCAATGCTGTCTGACTTTCGAAGGATATTAACGAATAGGCAGTATATGGCTTATTTTCAAAATTCAAAGACTATTAAGCAGGTTCAAACATAAAAAATTCAAAGACATTTTTTACGACTGGCCTACTATTTTTTTAAGTTTGTGATGAATTTGACTGTAAGGAATCACAGACTTGTTAGGGCCGGCTTATTTTCCAATAAGGATAGAAGTTTTAGGTGATGCGAATGTAATATTATCATTTTCAACCAAGTGGTACTTGTATATGAGTTCATTATATAAACAGATTGACATTTTTTCATATAACCAAGGCAGTAATTGATAAAATAAATTTTGGAAAGTTAATATAGAAGTGAATCCGACCAGTAATACTTTCATGATTTAAATACTAGCAGGGATAATTGCACCATTTTCATTTATATTTCTTCATGATCTAATTATATTTTATTAAATAAGTGCAGTCTTTTTTATTGAATAAGCAAAAAATCCTTTCTTTTTTATTGAGCATCTTGTATATCATGTGTGCAATTTCATCTAACATCAAACTCCTTTATCTTGTTAAATATGTATAATCTTCATGTGTTTAATTTTGTACCATTAAAACGTTGTTTTTTTGTATACGTTTCCTGTAAGCAATTAATTCAATATATGTTATATAAATTGTTATATATCTATTAAAAAATAAACTTGTTTTTCGTTGTCATTGAGTGTTCTGTCCACTTTAATACCGCAAACGGTAAACTATCTTAAACATGGGGTGAGTTGCTGAGAGTAGGAATATGAAGCTACTCTCCGTGTTCGTACAATTTCATGAAAAACACTAACACGTTAAAAAACTATTTAGGAATTTGATATTTGGTGGTCGTTTGTGGTGGTCCCTTGTTTTTCGATGACTTGCATGTAACTGTTTATTTCATTTCATTTTCGTATCGGTCCAATCCTTGTGTGTTGGTGCTGTGAAGGTTCTGTTTCTGATTTACACAATGCTAGTGTAGTGTACTTCAACAGTTTCAACCAGATGTAAGGAAATACAACTAGCTATCATTCTTTCATTTTGTGAGGAAATCGTTTTGATTTTACAAGTTAACTGAAGATGAATGTCCTGTTTAGATAAGCTCAAATAGTTGCCGTCTTGCGTTACACCTTTAGGTATAATCTAATGATCTAGTTTAACAACATTTGTATATGGGGTCCTACCATACTAATTTATTTTGGTTATATTGAAATTAGCTGCGTTTCTAATTTAAACATGAGTGTGCTGATAAGACAATATATGAACAAGCATGCACTTGTTCTGTGTATGTTTGATCATGATGCATGCACATTGCATTTGGTTTTATTGAGATCGTGGTGCCATTTGTTGTCCTTTTAAGCTAATTGATGAGATGGAAATAGAAACAAGCTATCCTGAGTTTCAAAGAGTTCGTATTATATCTAGAAGACCATACGTTTCTCTGGTAAATATATGTATCTTTTTTCCGATCAGGAAAACAAAGTAGTTGTCCTAAATCATGAGGTTACACTGAAAGATGCCAGATCGAAGATACATGTTAGTAACATGACGTCATAAATGTGACATGTGTAATCGCATTCAGGGTGTAACCCTCCAGTTGTTAGCCAAAATGTGAACCAATATCTCCGCTTGTGTTTATAATTATATTATCTACAAGAGATCTCGATACATTGACCGCTAGGTTTATACTACCAATTCCGTCCTATGTTCCAATACAGTGAATATGACGCAGTGATAAATGCAATTACTAAATTAGGAAATAGGTAATCGATAAATTAACAAAAGATAAGGTTTGGAAAGTTGTTTCTATAAAATAAAAATACTTAAACGACCACACAAACGAAAAAGTCAAAATATCCATTGATTATTAATCTTTAATTGGTAATTATCTCTTATCTTCACCGCGTCCCGTCACATGCTGTTGTGATCGTTTGACAAATTACTTTTGTTTACAGTATAACATTTATAGATTATTTTTGATATTTTGAACAATAAAACCATTAATCTTCATTTAGATGATAACAACTTCAAGTTTGAATGTCAATCTATAATTATATAATCTTAAAACGAAACTAATTAATACATTTGTGAGATCTTGTGAGATCGGGAAGGAAGGAATGATTGAGCAAACCGTAGAGGCAGAGATAGCGCAATGAAGAGAAAATATGTTGTGAATGATATATTTGTTTGGCGGAAGATATGGTAGAATGAAGAGATAGGACAAGAAAGAGAGATGCAGCATGACGGAAACATGAAGGCATGACGGAGGTATTGTCAATGAAGCATGAAGGAGGTTTTGGGAATGAGGTGTAGAGATGAGGAAAAGAGACTACGGTATCGGCTATGAACGAATTATAGTGTATGAATAAGGGATGATATGGGGTTCGAAGGAGAGATGGGACAACTAAGGAGATAAAGGAATGAAGGGAAGTCGGGTATGGATACGAAATATTTGTAAAAGATGAACATAATACGTACAAACAGGTGAAAAGAAAATGTATGAAGAAGAGAGGAAGATTAAAGGAGAGATGAAAGTTTTTATACAGTTTAAACAATTAAGTTCTTTCAATAGTTACAATTAGTCTTTTAGCAATAATTTGAATACATAATAGAGGAAAATACTAAACACAATAGTATTCAAAATAGTATGCAAATCTAACTGCCCATTTACTACAAATACTTGATTGACCACAATTTGTATTACTTTCATTTTCATACTGGGATATATCCGGCTTTTCAAGAGCATTTGGCAACCGATAATACTAAAACAATGTATTTAAAGCAAAAACAACAATATTACAACGGCTTTGAGGTAACGACCCCAAAGATGCTGCACTATCTACGTATTACGAACATAAGCTAGGTCGGCGTTAAGTTAAATGTGTGAGCTACACTCTTTCAGCTTAACTGTAAACAGCGAGGTGAAATGTATGTACATGTTTGCTATAGATTGTGTTGATTTTGAATGTACTTCGTACGTAGCATAGAGTCATAGGCACATGTCCTCATATATGCATCATATTTGCAAATGAACTACTCAACCATAGTTTCATTTCGGCGGTATTGAAGGTATGTTCTGATCTTCGTCGAATTTTTTCTCTGATATTTGTTTGCTGCTTTAGATCATTCCTGACATTCGATCTATTCTTGGTTCGTTTCGTCTACGGATTGTATACTTGTTTTCGTGATATATTTCCCTTTGCTTATTTTACGTAGCTCTTCATGTTAGAAATTGATCGATTCAGTTACACTTACAGAAAAAATATCAAAATTTTCAAAAATCTTTCTCATGTATTGACATCCATTGTGATATTGAATATTAAAACACAGACTGATAAAATAGGTAACAAACCAGGACGGTTCAAGATGTATACAATCTGTCACTAATCGGTTTAACATATGTGTGTTGCTCAGCTACATGTACGTAAAATTTTGATTCTGTCTAAAGATCACGACCTGATATTACTGTTGCTAAGTTACAGATTAGCGCAATAATGTCTGGCCAGAGAGGTCAAATTGAAGAAGGCTATCCACAGGCAGCTGTGTATATGGGACAGCATACTCATAGCAAGCAGTAGATTATGCCAGTATACATTACACGTACAATATTGTTTTTTCCCACGTTTCTAAATCGATCGCTTCTGAAAATCTGTCCTAACTATTTAAAGAACAAAATGTCTTTATATATTTTAGAGATGGCAACAAACCATTTTTATTTATTATATAATGGTTATTAATTTATTCATTCTATTTTTCTTTATTTTTTTTCATTATTTATTTTATATCTGTTGACTTATTTGTTTGTAAAATGCATTAATTCGACAAAAATGGTTTGCAATTAAATCAGAATGTGAAACTAACATGTATACATATTACATAATGAAGATATTATTGTATCACGCCGATCGTAAAACATTAAAGAGAGAAAAGATACTGTAACAATTGCAATCGTTATAACTAATATCGTGTTTAATGAACTGTTTTCAAGCTATTGTTCAGCTGCCCATTTAAGTGATCGATATCCAGAGGCAGGGTATCCTTATGCTTAGAAGCCTACTAGGTGTCGAGGGAAATCCAGAGATGGTCAGCTTTTATTAAAAGCAAATTGGGGCCCTCTGCTCGACTATTATATGTACATATAGGTTGTGTCAAACCATTGTATAATTTATTGGAACATTGACTAACACCTCAAAAACTGCCTCCACTTAAGAAAATCAATTGAAAGTTGAAATCATGTGCTATAGATTTTTAAGCTAGCCAAATGTACCCATCATGATAATCCCAATCGAAACGAGGAGAAAAAAGAGTACATGTAGGCCCCCAATGATTAAGGTTACATCCTTTATATCGTAACTCACGATGAACACTCTTATCTAATAGTAAACATAGTAAATCAAAATAACAAAGATAACGAATCTTTTAAAAACTGGGCCTTTTAAAGATCTCCTCAAATATTCAATAGGTAAACTCCCTGTACTGGTTTCGATAGTTTACTGCCATAGTGTGTATCAAGGACTGAGTACACAATTAAATGCTTCCAGGTTCAGTATTCACAAATGAAATCCCTTAGAAATATAGGTTTTTTAGTAAAAATAAACTATGCCTCTCAGAACTTGGTTTTTGTGTAAAAGTTTGCTGTTGAAATACTCTAAAGATAACGAATCTAACATGTTTTGTGTCAATTTTTATATTGTGCATATTTTGGTGCAGAGTGCTGAGTGGAAAGTCCTGTGTTTACCCCTGACCCGGAAGTTTATATTTGACATTGGTGACACATGCAGACGATTATCTCAAGAAAAAGGCTTACATGCTATGTTAAAATTTTGATATTTTACTCCCAATATGATGCTCTTAACCAGGTTAGATGGAAAGTAAGCTATCAAATATTGGGAATTCGTTATGAAATAAAATATTGCATTGGAACATATAGTAAAATTGTGGTCTTAGTTATATATTGAACAGAGAAAATGATATATCGAATACATTGTATTTCATTTAATCTGGGCAAAATCTTTTCGTCTAAAAGTTACGTGTATAATGCAATTATAAGATGTTATGTACTATTGTTAGTTGTTTGAGAGTTAAAGCAAGGTTTAAAGGTTTATAGATAATATTATGTATTAGCGTTTCCATGTTAAAACATGTTTTAAGGTATCATCTAAGTAATTGATATTAAATGAAGCATTTTCTGAAATAAAACCAAAGAGCTATGTATGGCAGGTTGCTATGCCTATTTCCCCTGAAGCTGAGACCGATGTGCCACCGTGTACTGTTTTCATAAATGCCAACTTATGGAAATATGGGCAGATTTCCGCCATAGCTCTTTCAATTTTATAGATTGTAGTATGAATAACATTAGGACGTTCCCAAAATATTTACACCATTTGTTTGCCTAATAAATATTTTGCAAACCAGCGTGCGGTCAGATTTAAACGAATTTCAAGTGGTTCTATCACATAAAATTATGATAAGATACGTGGAGTGTTGCAGTCTGATTGATACTGCCTGCACCCTACCATGTTAGGGACGATTATGCTTAGGTATCATAAAATATTTAAATTATCAACGTCCCTACCTGGACATGTATGTTGAAAACCTGTGTTATCGTCGGTGGATTCAAACGATAAAAGATCGCAACGAAGATATTTGTATCGGAAAAGGTACACTATATATGTAGGGAAGGATTAACCGACTTTCATCAATCAGAAACATTGAGTGTGCAATGTATTCATGATCACATAAATCGGCAGAATAAAATCACAAGAGTGCACTTAAACTCTTTCCATTGAAAAGGTATAGGTGGATACCACACCAGAGCTTCAACAAACAAGAAGGTATAATAACAACATTAGACATCCCCTTTTAAAACAACACAGAAGAGAATAAGGACTAAATTGTACTCCTAATAACGACCTCCTAATTTCTCAAAACCTAAATAAAGAAAAACCTTACCAGATACAAACTTTTCAAAAATTTCTCGAAATTTGACCATGAAACAGTTTTGCTTATGATAATGTTATAATATATCTTAATGTATTGCGTATTATCTAAATTCATTTTTTCTATTTACTCATTCATGCTTCCGTTTGAGAGCCTTTTCATATATATAGTATTTCTATGTTTGCTAAGTCCAAACGTACGGATGGTACATTTAAATGTTTATTTTGTATGGCTTTCTGCATCTACAGGCTTCATTGTCAATTGGTGCTTCACTTCATCGTTTGTATTGTGATTATACTTCGGCCGATTCAGGAAAAAACAACTAAATCAAATTGATGTTATGCAGATTTTAAATGAAGCTCAAACGGATATACATTTAACCATTACCAACTTGGCACGTTTACTTCGGGACCAAACTCTTAGAATACCTGTAGATGTTGTAAGTACTCCTCAACTAATCAGCCAACAGTAAATAAAACAAAGTATAAAGAATATATTACTGTTTTGATAGAGTCTACTTTTTTGAAAATTACATAAGTGGTTTGTAAGTCGAGAAAAATCACTGCAATGAACGAATTTGTTCTCAGACCTAGCCAATGTACATTCCCTTGTTACTCTGGAACTGTGTCTTTATGTTTATTTGGGTTTACCTAAATAATTGTTTGTACACAATATTTACTAATCATCTACGCTACCTTATTTGGTAAGGTGTACAGTTTGTCACGTGACCTGGTTGACCAATGGTCATTCAGCCTATAGGGATAGCCCTATTGATATTGTCTTCAGCCATTTTAAGCAGTCTCAGTATCAGCACTGTCTGTTTTTGTTTCTCCCAGTTTTTTAACGCTTTTCCGCCAGTTTACATATACAACACTAGTTTCTTACGAGGTTTAAGTTTTTATTCTACTTAGCTTTGATTTACTACGCTTCACTATCGTGTTTATGTAGCGTTTCACCACGTGCTTTTGTTGACATTTTTCACGTGCGATTTTGTGTCAAGGACGTTTCGTGTTCGTTGGGGTTTTCAAGGAGTACACGGATTTTCTGTTACTGTTTGCAGAGCTTCTACCTTCAGACGTCAATTTTTTTTTCTAGGAAGCCTTGGTTTTCAACGACAGACTAACTAGTGTTTCCGTACGTTGCCTACGTGTTGTGTTGTCATTTTCACGCGTGATATTACTGTGTCAAGGACGTTCTTGATCGTTGGAACTAGGATTACTTGGAATTTCTGTGCACTTCCCTGCACTTCGGTTTATGTGTTTCGGTTGGTGTGTTTATATTGACGCTTCTTTATTCGAGCAGTAGTTTTGGACCTCTGAACAACTTTATTGGATCGAAGTGTGTGTATTTGTTGAACCACGTATCATGGCGCCTAAAAGTAATAAAACCCGAGCAGCGCCGTACGATCCTGAACTCTTGGAAAATTGGACGTTAGCTAGGTTGAAAACCGCCTGTTTAGAACAAGGGATCTCGTTCGCAAGTAACGTTCGTAGGTTTGCTTTGGTCAAGCTGCTTCGGGAGAAGCGGGGATCTCCCGAGGAAACTGGGTCAACTCCGCGTCACTCCATTCTTCCTCAAGGTGCGCGATCCCAGAGTTCCGTGCGTAACGTCAGCCAAGATGGCGGCCCCCATGGTAATAACAATTTGGCAGCTATTATATCAACATTGGCCGAGTCAGTTACGGTGCTGACAAACAAAGTGGACTCACTTGAAACTAAATTGAACTCTGTTGTGCCTCTGGTTACTAATCCGCTTGCCAGGGAACTTTCTACCTCAGATCGGCCGAACTACCCAGATGTAAACACACCTGCTACCTTCCGTGATTTCTCTCGCGACACTGGAGAGTATTCACTGTCAACTGCCTACTCACGTTTCCACAACTTCGCAAGGAACCCGCCCAGCGCGGCAGCAGGAAGCGTCGCCCAGTTGGAAACGCCAGATACTACCGCCACGAGGACTACTTTTGGATATGCTGCCCACACCCTGCCTCTAGTGGAAACCGTTTCCCAGGCACTTAGGAACAGTATCATAACAGGTAGGGATGTAAATTTAGCGGCGCTCCTCATCCCTTACTACAGAGGTTCAGGGGACAGTGGCTTTCAGGAGGCTAAGCCAGATCATAGACTTAACCGAACACTTAGCATCGGGGAGTTCATCCAAGCCTTTGGCACTTACAAACATGTGATGTGTAATACCTTTCCCCATAGACGAGTCGAGTTAGACATGTACGAAAGGGACCTAATTGACATGGCTTCTCGTTTCCAAGGTTCTGGCTTTTATGAGTACCATTGCCAGTTTTCTCTGCGCGCAGCAGCCTACCTACGATGCAACAATGTTTGTGTCGACTGGTCCATACGTGACAATACCCTCTTCAGCAACATTTTTACCAACCGTCAGGCAAATTCTTGTTGTTACTGTGGCAGCTCCCTTCATCTGTCTGCATTTTGCCCTGCTTCTCCACCAAACCATAGTGCTCCTATTAACAGCAGTTCAAGTAAAACATCCAAGGACCGTGTTTATGGCAACACAGTTGATACCCATGGCAGACCTAGGATGTTTCATGGCAGCAAAGAAATCTGCAATAACTTTAACGGGGAAAGGGGCTGTCAAGTGCAATCTTGTTCTAAATCACATGTGTGTTTATCGTGTAAAAACAGTCATCCCAAAGCCAACTGCCCTTTAGAGAGAACTGGGACTCAACACAAGAAGAAATGATAGACTTAGTGGCTACTACACCAGTGTGTATTGAGACCCTTAAATGTGAACTGCAATCTCACCCTGATCAAAATTTTGTTGCTATGTTGACTGAGGGTCTGTCTCAAGGTTTCGATACTGGATTCGAATATCTACCTGGTCAGTCTTTTCAGTGCCGAAACTTACTGTCCGCCTTAAAAGACCCAGCTGTAGTTTCTGATTTAATTCAGAAAGAAATTGCTAAAGGTTTTGTGATAGGCCCTTTTGACTCTATTCCGTTTGTTACCAGTAGAATAAATCCCATTGGCATTGCTGTACATAAATATTCACAGAAGAAGCGCCTAATTGTTGACATGTCTGCTCCTCACAATGACCCAGATAATCCTAGCATGAATAGCCTAATAGACAAAGACAGTCACTCGTTGAAATATGTGAAGATTGATGATGCTATAACCTTGATTAAAGGCCTGGGTCAAGGCACACTGCTCATGAAAACTGATATATCAGATGCTTTCAAGCTTTTACCTATTAAACCAGAGTTGTGGCCCTTACATGGTATTTCATGGGAAGAGAAGTTTTATTTTTTTGTAAGACTTGTTTTTGGCAGTAGATCAAGTCCTAAACTTTTTGATAACCTTTCTGAAGCTATTTGCTGGATTGCTCACAATGTATACAAAATAGACAATGTATTACACTTGCTTGATGACTTTTTAGTGCTTGAACCCTCTATAGCGGATGCGAATGCAACCATGGAGAAGTTTTTAAATATTTTTCATAGATTAAATATTCCCATTGCCAAACACAAGACAGAGGGACCCTGTACAGCTCTTGAGTATTTAGGTGTGTGTCTAGATTCTGATAAAATGGAAGCAAGACTTCCTTTGGCTAAAGTTATCAGAATTCGTGAGATTTTAGACAGTTTTGCCCGACGGAAAACATGTACGAAGCGCGAGCTTTTGTCCCTTCTAGGCCATATGAACTTTGCCAGTAGAGTCATACGTCCAGGACGTTCCTTCGTATCTCACCTCATCAGCCTCTCTACCACAGTACCCAAACTGCACCATCATGTAACTTTGACATCAGCTGTGCGTTCAGATTTAGCTATGTGGTCCTTATTCCTCTCTTCATGGAATGGTGTTTCATTCTTTTTGGATGACAACATTACATTAGCTGCAGACATGGATATCTTCACTGATGCTACCCCCACATCTTTTGGAGGAATACATGGCAATAGCTGGTTCCAAGGCTATTTCCCCCCTGATTTTCACCAGGAGCAACACTCTATGGCACTTTTTGAGTTGTACCCTATAGTGATGTCATGTGTTGTGTGGGGGCATTTGTGGTGTAGAAAGAGAATCCTTTTCTACTGTGATAACTTGGCTACCGTGGAAATCATTCATAAAGGGAGATCCAAGATAGCTAGCATTATGAAGCTTATGAGACGTTTGACTTTTCATGCTGCTAAGCACAATTTTGCTATCCATGCCAAGCACATACCTGGTAAGCAAAACTCTACAGCTGATGCTCTTTCTCGTTGGCAGATGACCAGATTCCGGGAACTGGCACCCTACGCAGACCAGCAACCCACACCTTGCCTCCCCATGCAGGAGCTGATGATGGCTTAAGTGCAGACCTCGCTCATTTGTGGGACCATTCCCTCAGCAAGTCCACACTTGCAACCTATAAGTCAGCATTATCGTGTTTCCTGTCATTTCTTGCCATGCGCTGCCTCGTGGCACCTTGGATTTCAGGAACCCTTCCAGTGATCTCAGAGGACATTTTGTTAGCTTTTGTGACTTTTTGCCAAGCATCTTTAAACTTTAGATTTGATACTATCAAGCTATACTTGGCCGGCATACGCTATCACTACATCCGACAAGGGCAAGGTGATCCTTTAAGTAATTCACTACGCCTGCCATACATTCTACGTGCTGTTAAGAGAACACAGAACAATATTCCTAATGTACATCGACTCCCTATTACCTTTCCTATATTGTCAAATTTATGTACGGCTCTTCATTCAGGAGTATTTACTCCTTTTGTTGACCTCATGTTAGCATGCACCTTTAAAACTGCATTCTATGGTTTTTTACGATGTGGGGAATTCACTTGCAGATCATTCAATGGGAATTTTGTTAAAGTTGGTGATATTGTAATTGCAGATGACAAGTCAAAATTTTCCCTAAGATTACGATCTTCTAAAACAGATCCTTTTGGTAAAGGCGTGTCAATTTTTATTTTTGAAAACAAGCCTCTATATCCTGTTGATACCATGCACAAGTATTTGACCATGAGGCATCAACAAGGTGCTGACGTTGATGCACCTTTATTTCTTGAAAATGAGTGCAGTTATAGACCTCTGACTAGGACTACCTTCTTGTGTTACCTGAAAGATACTTTGAGCAGACTAGGCTATGAAGATAGATTTTTTAGTGGCCATTCTTTTAGAATTGGTGCCTGCACCTCAGGGGCAGCAGGAGGGGTCGAAGGTCATGTCCTCCAAGTTTTGGGTAGATGGAAGTCTGACTGTTTCACTCGTTATATACACACCCATCCTTCCATTATTAAACAGGCCCAGGAAAACATGAATATATCGGAATCTATGTAACCTACCACGTGTATGTATTTTTATATGTGTAACCATTTTTTTATGTAATATTTCTGTTTTACAATTCTTGGGGGCTCTCGCTCTGTTACTTCACATTTACATTTGTATCTGTAACCTTCGTTCGATTTGGACATGTAATTCGGGAATTATACCCCCAATTCATTATATGCTTGTTGTTGTAAATTTTTTTTTTGCAATCATAACCAGTTTGTGTGCCTGCCGGGGAGCACCCCCTTTAAGTCACGTACATTTCTTAATCCTGGTTTGCTTTTTGATAATCTAACATAGTTTTAGGGTAGGTGACTTAGGGCGTGCTTAGCTAGTCAGAGTATAAATGTGTAAGTGCCTGTTGGGGATCGCCCTGTAAACCATGTTTCTTACTTATACTCTGAACACTCAGGCACCGGGGTCGCTCGATGCCTGTTTGCAGGGCCGCCTGTTAGCTACACGCTCCACAGCTTGGGATCGCTCAAGCCCTGGGGATCCCCCCACAACTTATTCTAGTCACAAGCTTGAGATCGCTCAAGCCGGGGATCGACCCACTCTTCTTTTAAGTTAAGTGTGTTGTTTTTTAATTTCGTTTTGCTGTAAATAGATATGTTTGTAACCAACTATGTTGTAGTTAGTCTAAGTAACAGAGAGCAGACCCTAAGAATGCCAAAAGATAACTAATATAACCTGAACAAGTTACTTTAAATTTAGACTCAATACATTTTTGAACTTTAATTCTTTGTTTTGTTGTGTATAAATATAGCATTAATGATCCATGGAACATACATCATGCAATCAATCTCGGTGCTATGGACAAATATTGCATTAGAATGGTTACAAACAATTATCATTGTTTAAAAATTGGTGTTTTGATTTAGGTATTGTTTTACTACCTTAATTTCGCAGATCATTATCATCATTCATTATTAGAGTGCTGTGTTTCGTTGGCAGTGTACTGAATACTTGTTATAAAGAGGCGTCGAAACTAACAAAACTAATTAACATGGGTATTCAAAAGCTGAAATGACAGATAACAGACAAAGTGAGTACATATAACGCACGCGGTCTGTTAAGAACGTGCAATAACTCCTACTCATATGGCAAGTTACGCTTTGGCTGAGAATCTGACAACACCTACAATAACCACTCCTTATCTTACAGCACCTACAATAACCACGCCTAATCTGACTACACCTGCAATAACCACGCCTACTCTGATAACACCTAGAATAACTATGCCTAATCTGAGAGCATCTACAAAAAACACGCCTTATCTGACAGCACCTACAAAAACCACGCATAATCTGACAGCATCTACAAAAAACACGCCTAATCTGGCAGCACCTTCAAAAGCCACGCTAAATATTACAGCACTTACAATAACCCCGCCTAATCTGACAACACCTACAAAAACGACGCCTCATCTGACCAGACCTACAAAAACGACGCCTCATCTGACCAGACCTACACAAACTACACCTAATCTGACTACACCTACAATAACCACAACTTATCTGACTACACCTACAATAACCACGCCTAATATGACAGCACCTATATTAACCACAACTTATCTGACAGCACCTATAATAACCCAGCCTAATCTGACAACACCTACAATAACCACGCCTAATCTGAGAGCACCTACAATAATCACGCCTAATCTGACAGCACCTATAATAACCCAGCCTAGCCTGATAACACCTATAATAACCCCCGCCTAATCTGACAACACCTACAATAACCACGGCTAATCTGACAGCACCTACAATAATCACGCCTAATCTGATAACACCTACAATAACCACGCCTAATCTGACAACACCTACAATAACCACGCCTACGACAACCCTACATCCTGCGATATCCCCTTTAACCAAAACTACTACAACCTCATTCACAACACAACCATTTCTACTGCAACAAAGCCTACCAACATCTACGCCTACTCCGACACCAAGTACACTGATTGATTTACACTCCCCTTATCAGCAACCAACCCACTACTACCCTACAGCTTACATCCATTATATCAGGACGTAAACTTCAACCACGCATGCTGTGTGGTATTATTTTATTTTTTTGTCTGTATTATTCAAATATAAATGACCTTGCAATTGAAAAGTGCATGGTATTGTAGTAAGGAACTATTGTTTAAACGAACATGAACAGTAATACACATAAAACAGCATGAATTCACAGATGGATTCAATTTGACACTTATCGGTTAGGTATGAAGCGCAACTATTTATAACTTTAATGTGCTCTTAAAAGGTATGACCCGCGTTACCTGTTGCTAAGGAATAATATAACATTTGGTCAGAAAGATGCAGTCAAAGCATAATGTATAAAGATAGCTGTAAAGATATGTAGATTTCATTGCAGTGTATATAATCCGAGTAATTATTTAAAGCTAGCCTAATTCGATATAAAAAGTAATGTACTTCAGAAACATGAAGTCATCGGTCATAGACATTTAGGACCCCTAATTCTTTAGTAAGTAAAAATATTTAAGAAACAAATAAAGTTATAGGATGTAAACATTGTTTCTACTTTCATATTTTTGGGGAAAACCTAGGTACAAAGTTTCTGGACGTCTGACCTGAACAAATACGGCTTTGGATATCAGGTCAACAACGGAAATATAAACATCTGTATTATAATAAATATGTAAAAGGAATATGAAGAATAGATAACTTATGTAACAAAAAGGATGAGATTATTTCACAATAAATATTCCATTAAAGTATAACATGGGTATAACATATGACGGATATTTAACCGAATATATTAGAGAACACTAAAGAAGATCAGCTTATGTCTGCATCAGACGTATCTCTTCAACCACTTGGTGATGATGGACCGATAAAGAGTGTTATATGTGTGCGCCCCCGAGAAAAGCGTATTTATAGTAGACCTTCCCGTAATAACACATACTTTTTAAGACATAAGCTTAGTCATTGTGTACTTTGAAAAATACTGTTTAAGAAAATAAATAACTATAATCAGTTTTACAAATCGCATTTATATTTTGCCAAATGGTATTTTAATATAGTTTTTGCAATCGACATGCCACCCGGTAAGGAGAAGGGAACGTGTATCTTAGATACAACACTATGGTGTAATACCTGGGGCGTTATCGCTTTATGTGTACCGCATACACCCTACTGTGTAAGGGACAACGACTTCCGCAATGAACCTGTCAAAATACCATATCACATTTAAGGTAGCCTCGCCCTTACCTTGAAATATATGTTGATACACCATGCTTATCTATTGATTTCACACTATGTAACGTAGAGGTTCCTAACGGAGCTGGTATCCAAGTAAAACACACTAACGATTCTTAAATCAGAATCATTGAAAGCGCATGTTTTCTCGTTTAAATACCTGAGTAGAATGAAATAAATAACAAAATAAATCAATAAAGGTAAAAAAAGTTTGCGTTGATTCTAGGCGAAAGCAATATTTCCATTTTTTTTCAATTTATTCTGGTGTTTAATTTATCGACAAATAAATCGGGGACATTTTTATGATGACAGGGTGAGGAACTCGGAGTGCGATTACTGTTTGGTATGAATCGTAAATGTTCGTTTTGAAACACAAATAGTGACTGAAAACTTATTTTGCAAGCTTTCGAACGTCTGTTTTCTTTGTCAAGAAAAGATTGCAAAGAACCATAGTCTCGACCCTTAACCACTGGAAAAAACTCGCTATTTCACGTTATGCCGAGTCAGTTAAGTCAGCTATCAAAACTATTGAAATATTTAGTCCTAATAGCACTCTGATAATGCAGGCAGCCAGACGGACGGGTATATGTTTACCCATTATGACCCTTAGAGGATGATAAAATGGGGTCATACAGATGACTCAAGTGGTGGCCCCCTTTGTCCCTGCACATCAATTCCACTTCTTACCCAGATGGGTTTTATGATTTCTCACTTTCCAGTTGTCTTCCCTTTTAATCACTTTAGAGTTGTTCCAGTCTTCAATGAGGTTTTGACACCAATCATGATGATTCCTCTCAAATCTCAAGACATCGGTAATTACTGCCTGCAGTTGGATTATAACCATATACCGTTGTCATATCAGAAATATATAAAACACAGACGAATCTGCTTAAAACCATACTATTAAGCAATATTCTCTTTTAGGAGACCACCTATTTTCATCCTCACCAAGCAGTGTACTGAATTATGTCTCTATAACGTGACCATTTCTTTATAGAGACAACGTTTATGCGATTTTGGTTGCCTCTTTATACAAATTTAACAGACTTCTCCATTACGGAACTGAAATAAATAATTTGCAAAATGTGTATGCCTATTACAGAAATACAAAAGAATTGACTACTATCACTCTGTAAAAATTCATATGTTCCATGATCAGCAATGTCCACTTCTTTATCTATAAAGATATATATAATATAACATATTTATAGTTTATGTACCGATAAATGTCACAGCAGGTCATGTAGATAAGCTCGATACATATTTTAGACAAGAGATACGTATGGAAATGCATTCATATATATATATACATATATGAATGCATTCTTACTTTACCGTATCAATTTTCAAAAGGTAAACTGTTTAAAATACAATAAAGTCGTGTCAGGCAAACTGCGTAAAATACAATATATATATATATATATTACTATTATGTTAACTAACAGTCAAACAAAAAACATAAAAATCATAAATATGTTTAAAAAATAAATAAATTAAATGCATGACACCAAGCACAATACGCGATCATTTATCAAATTGCTGAAAGAGAAAAAAGTATTTATATTATATATGACAACACGCTAACTTAGTTATGTTGTCAATAAGTTTAATTTTATATAGTATTTTTGTTTGCTTGAATATTTGACATGTTTAAACAATTCTTGCATGGCAGTTTGCCAAAACTATTGTCAATACCTTTATTTTTATTGAGGTTTAAACGTGGTTGCCCTTTTCGTCTTGTGTGTACACAATGACAAAGTTCCCAGTAAATATTTCCTGTGGTGTGCCTCAATAGGGTTATACGCCCTGATAACGTTGAATGTACAAGTACAGATATCATTCAAAAAATCTTATAGATACATTGCGGCAAGGAGTGGGAAATATAACAGGTATAGGTGTTTGTTGTCGTAATAAAACTTCCGAGGAATATTACCCCATTTACAGAACCGACCGGGGGGACTTCATAATGAAGGGTAAGTGGGACGGTTTTTTAGACTGTATTTTCATCAAGGCAATTTTAATGTCGAAATATTTGTTCTTCAAGGAGAGATAGAGAGAACTCGTAGGGTTATATGATTTCTTAATACGTAGATAAAATAAGATAAAGATGTAACTCGAATACAATTAGAGGAAACACTAAAACAAAAGGATAAACAGCATAGACCCAAAACAAAATCATTAAAACTGGAAAGGAAACGTGTTTTTCCTTCTATCCCGGTTTTCTTGCAAATCTTGGGGTCTGAACATACCATGAGTCACGTGAGTATAGTGTCAACAGAATAAAACACATCTTGAACTTACATAGGACGAAATAGGAAAACAAAGTCGATATAAAAGACAGACACAAGAACAGAGTACACCTCAACATATAAAATTATTGAATCCTCTAAAATCATATTCGTCGTTATTACTACTGAGAAAAGAAAGTTTACAATTGTGAATTGAAAGTCGTGATGTTTTACATTCTACTATCAGGCGACCATTAGTATCAACCATTATATTTAAATCTAAGTATGAATCTGTGAAGTGGAGTATGTTTAAGTTTAATGTCTAGAAATATTATGTTACTCAGGGAGTTTTCTTTTACTTGTACTAAAAAACATAACCAAGCTGTTTTTTTTACTTAACTGATGTCTTAATTACGACATCTCGTTGTAATATCAAGTAAAGACTTGTCGTAATTCCAAGAGACCAATCTTTAAACCCGATAAGCTAGATAGAAGATGTCCTCGGATTGTTCGTATTTGAATAATAAGTTATTCTTAAATAGTTGTATCAAAGAAACATTAATGCAAACAATACACCATATTGAGAATATCATCAATCTTGTGATTGATTCTAGCTTATAATGCAATAATATTCAAAATAAATATTTCAACAACAACAACATTGTTACAGATGCGTACAGTTGTATGTCTGTCTTACAACAACAACTTATACATTTGTTATGTTTCATTCCAGATATACATCGTACGTTGCTGTTTGTTTTATGTAAGTAATATTTTATTAACTAAAATCATATGTTGTATTTATGTCATTATGTTATAAATAATAATTATTAGTCTCTTTCATACCCGGAGATATACGCTCGGGGAATTCCACTAGGAGAGTTTTCAAAGTAGGTGAAATCCGAAGCTTACAAGGATTTTGCACCAATTTGAAAAGCCCGAAATTAAAAATGATCCTAGCCTACACACTTGGCATGGAAGAGTGTTTTTTCTCTCATTCCAATCAGCAGTATTAGCTCAGAAACCAATAGAACGCGTCGAAATTTCTGCATCGTAGTAACGGAAGGCTCCCGTTTTGTGACGTCACGTCATCTTTGTCCCATTGTGTGGTCACTCAAGTGAAATTGCGTGTAATATATAATTGTTTACACTCCTCTCCTAGCCTTAACAGTGTTGTCATAAACGCACAGGAATGAGAAAAATACGAAATGCTATATCTTCACATTGAAAAATATATGTTATGGTATTGTCCATTCAAAACGGTACTTTTTATTCACTTCGTAGATGTTCATTCTTATGTTCAGACGCTGTGGCCAGATTTTGGCACCGAACAATCAAACAGTAAAACGGCCTCGCTGTTCGTTCCGACAATATCGATACAAGCTCCATGCTGTCGGTGTTGGAGAGTTTTTAAGTTTCGTTTTTATTGTATCTGTATATGAGTTCAAAATCATGTTACTGTTAGCAATATGTCGAGGCGCGAAGCGCCAGCTCAGGATTAGTTTTTGAGGCTCCCCAATATGGGAAAGAAAATTGATCTTCCAACCGCAAATGTTTCAAAGCTATGCACTCTGTTATGTTAAGTATGCCAAATTACTATCGCAATGTATTTATTTATCCTGATGATAGAATATCAACACACCCGATGTAAGTGATACTTCACCACTGTGAGAGATGACCCTAGTTTTCTTATACTTTTTGCAAATCGCTTAGTCTGACTTTGTACTTTTAGCCGATGACAGTGTTTCATTTGACATGAGTTTTCTTCGATCAAATAGTTAGAATTGCTTCCTGATGCCTTCCATGGAAATGAAAGTTCACTATGGAATTAAACATTTTATTTTCTCCAAAGAATAGTTTCCCTTTGTAGGTATCAGACGGTTATTCTGGCCAGAAGAATGGGCTGATGTCTCAGCCGGATTTTTTCGACGCCTTCGTATCGTTAAGCTAACCAGGCTTTTACTAGATTGGCCACTTGTAAAATGTCAGACTTTCTGAAAAGCAATTATTCTCATAAAAGATGGTCAAATTAGCAAAACCGTTTTTTTTTTTTTAGAATAAATGGTTTTCAATATCTCACAGGTAAAATTGTGATAAAATGTACGATAACGTTTTGTACATGACCTGCAAAATCAAGTTTGCATAAGTAGCTCTTCTCCAAAATAAAGACACGAGACTGATACAATTTTTTGTAGTATGTTCATCGCCGACCGAAAGACTGATATTAATGTTTGACTGATATACTATATGCATTTATTTAAAGTTAGTGTTGAGTTGAAGGATATTTAGGGAACTGATTTTCTATTTCTGAAGACGTTAACAAAGTTTGAACAAGGCATACATTTTGCTTGCGGGTTCACATGGCCAACCATACGGTTATTCTCCCTGTACTTCAGAGGAGAAGAACTTGGAAAATTTGATGTTTTTTGTTAATTTCTTGTTATGACAACCGGTAATGTAACATTTTCCCTTTTCCTGGTCCAACAATGTCAATTAAAACTTGGGGTACATAACTTGATTTATTCTCATTATAATAAACTCATATAAATAATATGTAACCGATCTCGTTTCCGTGGCAACAGTAGTAAAGGCTTGTAAACATAAAAGCCAAGTATTTATTTATCATTTTCAAAGAAAAATCAGCATTAACATTCCTTTCAGAGCATAATAGCTGGATAGCCTTCTGATCAGTCCATAATTGGGCATCATTAGTAAACAGAACAAACTAATATATACCTATCCATATCGGTTTTCATGCTATAGGGCTCTGAATATTTCTCAATATGCAATAAAATCTAATATAAAGGTCAAACCTTACTACAAATACCACTTTTATATCAGCAACATGTTTTATCATTGATTCCTTATAAATTATTCACTTGAGATGTATTAATTTACATTCCATTGAAAACATCGACTAATTGCTGATTTTACTAAGATGCGTGACGTTTCCCCCGTGGTCCGTATCACACTGGAGATTCCAGCTAGTATTCTTATCCCAACTGGGATGTATCAATATCGTAGAAAGCTGAAATATTGCCTATGTCCGAACAATCACTTCTTGTGATCATGGACGTCTTGTACTAGTAAATATATTCAGGAAGTATATACAAAACAGTATCAATGTAACGGTCAATGAAAAATCAAAGATTGTCCGCGAGCAAATAACATTGAGAATGCAAAGGAACATTGAGGTTTAACAATACAAATAGCTAGCTCGGTAGGTTTTGATCACAGATGTTTCGATAAGAATTTCTGTTAAATCAGGCCTTGGTAACTTGGCAATGAGATCAATGTACTTTTCTGTTAATTACGATGTTTATAATCAAGTTTTCATTATTCAGCATTATCAGTTGATAGAAAAAGATGGAAAAAAATATAACTATCTCGATCGGTTTTCTTGCTATTGGGCCATAAAAAGTGTTATAATTGCATTTTCCTCAACTTCACTGCTTTTATCAACAAATTAAAAAAAGGAGTCATTTGTTTTTTCACAAATGTTAAATGTTAACCTATTATATATTAAACTTATCTATGAATTCATTATATTTTGTTCAACTTAGAAATGTTGATATGCATTCAGGTAATTACAAAAACAAATTGATGCCGGTTTTACTTTAAAACCTGTACAACCCAATTTTCAACTGAACTGAGGTAATAATCGCAATGAAATCAATAGCCGTACGGATCCTTGTACTGCCTAATGCAAAACACTAGATAATTCGACCGTAGTTTTTCTGAAATTGAACGATCCTCCCTGAAATTAGTTAGAAATATGATTGTAGTTGGATTGGGCAAATATGATTACTATGACAAATTGGCAATGTAGCTCAGCTTGCTAGATTAATTGAATGTCATGAGTTTGGCGGTAATGAGTTCAAAACCCATGTTAGTTCTGTTTCTACTGTATAGTTACAGTTTTATTTATCAATTTATCCTTTTGCAAGAGGTTAACAATTCATGAAAGTAATGAAAGGCAAACATGTATGTCCATCAATTTCTTCACATAATGACAAATTCGACAGAATATAGGTCTCTTCATCAAATTGTCTGGAGCAGCTCTCTGTAAAAGGTCAATGTTCCTTCGAGTTGTTTCGAGTAAATCTTTGCATATATACTAGAATAGTTATACCTTAGTGATTGCATTTCCTCTGATGATTAGTTCTACCTCTGTCTCGTGTGGTTAAATGTGTCAATGCCATTTTTGTTATATCCGTTATGAGATGCCCCTCCTCACTCTTCACTCCCCCCACTTATTTCTTCATCAGTCATATCCTTCTTTGTTCTAGCCATTTGGTTGGAATTTCTTTGCCAGTTTGATGGTGATCCTCTTGACATGTTTTCCTGAAAGTAACTTAAAAATATATTCCGGAAAAGCATTATGACAGACAATCTTCCAAGCAGTGATTTCTGGACAAATTGAACTAAATATTTTATAATGATTAGCTTTTCTAATTTGTTTTAATGACATGTTATGGTAAGAGTAGACTAATTTGTGCTTAACCATTTAGTTCACGATAGCTAGTTCTTCATCAAAAAAGGAATTGAAAATACATGAACATGAATAACAATGGAAACAATATGAAAATAGCAAAACAAAAGCCATATTCAAGAAAGTTTGATAGAATCTGTTACAAACATTACAAAATAGAAAAATAAGAATAATGAGCATCTCACTGCTCTGTTGTATCCGTAAACAGAAGGAAGATACAGTTGGTTTCTACAGTTTTAATGACAACACTGCAAAACATTTTAAACGAAGACATCCAACATGAACACTCGTTTTACCAATCTCATTCACCGGACTTCAGTCAACATCTTTCTCACGCGCAACCGTTTCGCTTGTTTTAATCTTACATAACACTTCACTAGGCAAAACTGATAACCGTGCATCACTCCATGTTCTTTTCTGTCTGTTTTCCTCCCTTTTGTATTGTCTGTCTGTCCATTTAAACAGGCGAAACTGTTACTTTTGAGTGTGAGCACAAGCCTTACTTTAAGTTTTAGTTAATAAAATAAGGGTTTTCACACACCTGCCTTTCTGTTTCTACAGTTCTTAAGACAATGTTGATTTCCGACCCTTTGCCCCTAGCCTTTCTGATGAGTCTTTGAAGGAGAAAACAGCTGTATTATGCAATGTAATTCATTGTTGGCTGACTTTCTTATATGTCCGATCCCATGTGTGTGTTACGTTCCTCTATCTGATGTCATAAATACAGACAGCTTTTCATTTGAAATGGCAGGGTTTGTTTTCAGCTGAGATGATGATGTGTCAGTGACTCGCTAAATGTATATATTTAAAAAAAAATAACACCACGTAATATCTTGCTTTGTTCATTCTTAAACACATTGTATAATTTGTTTCTATTTTTAGTTATGGTTAGAATGGATATCTGCGCTAAAAAAGTAGCATCGGTGACAGGTAAGGTTGTTCTCCCATTTTCACCCCGTTTACAGCTTTGCTCATTCAAAAGACGATATTGCATTATTTATTGAATATATTACAGAGTTGATATCAGGAAAATCAACGTTGAGTAAACTATGTATGATTAAATAGACAAGTACAAAATAAACACGGTATTAAGTCAGGCTGCTATTCGGAACATTAGGATATTAAAACTCTTTTTGACATCGCATGAATAAAATAATGACGTTTCAAATTATTGCAAAGTCAAATAGGACGTAGTTTATCTTAACGTTAACTGTTTATTTTGGTTAAGAATATCAAACTACGACATCAGCAGGAGGTATCTCCTATCATGTGGATTCATCAGGAGGCCAATCTACCGCATCTATACAAACAGAGGGCAAAACTACTGCATTAAAACAAACAGAAGACGCAAGTGTTGCATCAGAACAAACAAGGGTCGCAACAACTGTATCGGCAAACACAGGATGCCAAACGTATTCATCGGCACAGACAGGAGGCCCAAACCATTCATCGGATAAAACCGTAAGCGCAACTTATTCACGGTCAAATACAGGCAGCCCAGCCAACTCATTGGCATCGACCGGAGGCCCAACTACTTTATCGTCAAACAAAGAAAGCCCAACTAATTCAACGTCAAACACAGGAGGCACAACTAATTCACTGTCAAACATAGGAGGCCCAACTAATTCACTGTCAGACATAGGAGTCCCAACTTATTCACTGTCAAACACAGAAGGCCTAACTAATCCACCGTCAAATACAGAAGGCCTTATTAACCCACCGTCAAACACAGGAGGCACAACTAATCCATCGTCAAACATAGAAGGCCCAACTAATCCACCGTCAAACACAGAAGGCCCAACTAATCCATCGTCAAACATAGAAGGTCCAACTAATTCACTGTCAAACACAGGAGGCCCAACTAATTCACTGTCAAACATAGGAGGCCCAACTAATTCACTGTCAAACATAGGAGGTTCAACTAATTCACTGTCAAACACAGAAGGCCTAACTAATTCACTGTCAAACATAGGAGACCTTACTAATCCACCTTCAAACACAGGAGGCCCAACTAATCCATCGTCAAACATAGGAGGCCCAACTAATCCAACGTCAAACATGGGAGGTCTAACTAACCCACCTTTAAACATAGGAGGCCCAATTAATTCACTGTCAAACACAGAAGGCCTAACTAATTCACTGTCAAACATAGGAGGCCAAGCTAATCAATCGTCAAACATAGGAGGCCCAACTAATTCACTGTCAAACATAGGAGGCCCAACTAATTCACTGTCAAACATAGGAGGTTCAACTAATTCACTGTCAAACACAGAAGGCCTAACTAATTCACTGTCAAACATAGGAGACCTTACTAATCCACCTTCAAACACAGGAGGCCCAACTAATCCATCGTCAAACATAGGAGGCCCAACTAATCCAACGTCAAACATGGGAGGTCTAACTAATCCACCTTTAAACATAGGAGGCCCAATTAATTCACTGTCAAACACAGAAGGCCTAACTAATTCACTGTCAAACATAGGAGGCCAAGCTAATCCATCGTCAAACATAGGAGGCCCAACTAATCCATCGTCAAACATAGGAGGCCCAACTAATCCAACGTCAAACACAGAAGGCCCAACTAATCCACCGTTAAACATAGGAGGCCAAATTAATTCACCGTCAAACACAGAAGGCCAAACTAATCCACCGTCAAACACAGAAGGCCCCACTAATCCACCGTTAAACATAGGAGGCCCAATTAATTCACCGTCAAACACAGAAGGCCCAACTAATCCACCGTCAAACACAGAAGGCCCAACTAATTCACCGTCAAACACAAGAGGCCCAACTAACTCCCCGTCAAACACAAAAGGCCCAACTACTTCATGGTCGAACAAAGAAAGCCCAACTGATCCACTGTCAAACATAGGAGGTCCGACAGGTAGCCCAAATAAGTCATCGGCACCCACAGGAGGCAAAACTAATTCAACGGCACCGACAGGAGTCCCAAGGAAAACAACGCCACCAGCAGGATTGACTCATAAATCAACAACAGCTCAGCCATCGTTATATCCTTCACATAAACCAAATTGGGGTAAGAAAAATGTTTATTCTGCTAAACAAACGATGATTTTTTTTCATTATTTGGTATTTAATAATGAACTTGTCTGAGGTATAAATCACGTTCAAAGGTCGTTTTGATATAGAGAAACAGATTTTTAATTAAAATGATCAATCTCTACACGGGATGATTGTCCAGTGGACAAGTTAATAGGAAGATAGTCCATCTTCTAAAACATATTATGAATAAGACTAAAACAGGCAGAAACCACAGGGATTTAGATCTGGTGAATAGAGTAGGTGGTCAGTCTGCATTACCTTCTCTTGCTTCAAAAACACTTTTATAATATTGCTTTTGTGGAATTAAGTATTACAGTGAAATACCTTGGATACCTTTCGACCCTTCACATGGACGGTGTTTCATGTAGGATCTTTGGACAGGCTTCAGTTCTTTATATCTGTAAAACTTGGCAGCAATATTTTCCTTTCTTTGAAAAAATGCATATGAATAAAAAAATAATCACGTGTTAAAACACTTTTGCGAATTTTGAGAAAAACACGTGTTTTTTTTTTTGTCTGTTATACCACAGTCGTAGTTCTTAATATATGGTTTCCATCGTAATAAATGTGTAAGGCTAACGTCCATTCATTATCGGTTACGGTAAAAGAAAATATGGGTGTATTTACCCAAATATATGAAAATCACACGATGAATTATAATATTTAACATGTTTTTGTAAATATTTACATGAGTAATGGCGGGAATCGTCGATCAACTTCGTCTTATTTTTCTTGTGCATTTTCAAAATGTTATTTTTTCCCTTTTTCCTAACTTCCCCTTACTGTTATGAATGTTTAGTTCTACTTTTGGTTTTGTTAACACTTTGGTATTCACTTTAGTATTCTGTTTAAACCTGAAAAATAATCGATTCAATGACTTTTTGTATCCAGATGGTTGCAGACTTTTGTAGACTGCTTTGATATTATATCTTTGTTGGTTTGAATCTCGGAATTACGATTTAATTATTGTTGCATTGCAATTGCACTGTGTCGAATATTACCTAAATTCTAAGGTATTGTGTATAAAGTAGTAATATATATATAGGGACGAATAATCCGTTTGATAGGGACTATTCCGAATTTTTTTTATTCTTTTATGTAATTATATGACATTGAATTTTAGATGTATAAATTGATTGAGATGTATAATATTGATTATAGTTAAAAAGTTGTGTATTGGAAGAAATTAACCATAAACTATAGTCATAGTATGATAAGTTTGTTTTAATTCCAGGTCAAGCAAACCTATCTATACCATTAACAATTTTCGTCAACGGCAACTACTCGCAAGAGTTAGATGATACAACGTCACCTATGTACCAAATCTATAGCTATGACTTTACAATTGTAGTAAGTGTTTCGATTTTACATATTATATGTTTTCGTTTGTGTCTATTTTTTACTAATATATAAGTCATCTTTAGTGATATGATTCATATGATTGCGAAATAAAAGTATCATTTGCCTGTCCCAGTCTCAGTACAATCAACAAAAATGCCGTTCACGGACACTATCGTTTAAAATATAACCATATTTACATCTGAACAAGCAATGGTTTTCTTTAATTGATATATATTTATTTCCCTAGCACTGCAATTTTTATGATGAGGAAAAAAAATTCCAGTGATCCCATGTCGTTTAAGAAACGATTAAGATTTGATTTCAGGGTTTTGCAAAATATACCCCCAAACATTTTCGGGACAGAAAATCTTTTGGAAATAATTAACGTAAACAAAGTGCACTTGTTTTAGATATACGTCGCATAACTAGATAATATTAAGGTCATTCATTATAGTTACTAGGGAAAAAAATGGATTAATATATATTATTTCCGCCTTAAGTTAAAATCAATTTAGTATACCGAGTAAGCTGTATTACCCTTATTTAACATTAAAGTTAATGTTAAATGACAGAGGCTGTGGTGGCCATCTTGGATGCGCAGCTGTTAAAAAATAGACGTGNCCCCCCCCCCCCCCCCCCCCCTGAATAAATTCGTTTTGGGGACTCAATAATAAGAAATAAGAACAGAGTTACACCAATATGTCCCCACTCCGTTTGGGGGACATAATAACCTCTCTATAGATGCATTATTTACGTAACTTATCAAGTGGTTTACTCAATGGTATGTTTATAATAAGTATAATTTGATAACTTTAATTAAGTTATTCTTTTTAAAGGGCGCAAAATTTCATAGTCGTCTATTCAAAGCCTGGTAATAAATATTAGGACACTCAGAAATAGTATGTTTGTTTGAATTGGACAGCTAGTCGTAAAACTAGGACCTCTAAAGCTCCACTGTAACTGTGAATTATGTATAGGTGGATCTCCCCTATTGAGTAGATATGCATGAGTAAGACAAATATGACCGGCACGGAGCCGCAGGAGGACAACCTCCTCTTTGCACTGTGTCGGACTTGTGAGACTCAACGCAATTTTTCCTTTCAATTGGTAGCATACCTTACAATACCTTACAATAATACTTTCATTATTGTTTCCGTACTTTTTCATCATCGTAGGTGGGAATTATGCTTCTATATTTACGTTATGTTACCTGGACCCATTGACAAAAATGACAATTATTTTTCATAACATAAGTGACCTCATCACATTACGTATTGATATATTGTTGGACGGCATTACAATGTGTACGCAATAAATGTGCAGTTTTTGTGCAACGTCCACCGTGAAGCCGTGAAGTGTACAATTGTTACGCTGATTAAATTAAACATTAGCATTATTGCATTCATGTTAAAGAAAGATAAGCCAAGTTGTTTAAAACAAATGATATTAGCAAATTGTGTGTAACATTCTGAAAAAATAATTTGAAAATGGATCTACTTTTTGGTTGTCTTGCTGTGTCTAGATTCTCCAACGGAAATTTCATATTTCCCCCGAAAATATGTTTTTCTCTCAACTGCAATGCCTCCATATATAAATAAAGTAAATGAGCTGTATTTTGTTTTATTCGTAGTTCCATCCATTTTTTAAAACTCTTTAAATTGTAAACATGTGAAATGTCTTCTTTTGAATTGATGTAATATATAGAAACATGTTTTGAGATGAGATTTGACCAACATCACTAATTATGCTGTATATTGAATTATATGAAATAGTTCATAGTTTTCCAGTTTGCCAGTATGTATGCATATATGATTGGGTTGCAATGAGTTCATATTTAATTATTTATCTTTATTATAGCTTTATGCCCTCTACAGTAGCATTACTGATTTTCAAGGTGTCAACATAACCGGTTTCTTGTGAGTAAACATACATTCTCTTATCGTTTTAACATAATTTCAGGATTTTTTATTTGTCGTTTATTATTTAAACAACCGATTATGGGAGGCGTGAAATATTTCGCAGAATTAATACATGTATATTTTCATCTTTCCCATTTTAACGCACGTTATTCATTTTGTTTGCAATCCTTTTCCGTGTTATAGGACCATAACACGGAACAAAATGCTGGCTAATGCTTAAAAATAATTAATTCAGTTATATTCTTCATAACGGCAATTATAAGCATTTTGAAATAATATTAAGATTTGGGGTCAGAAGAGACCGACCCAGTACCGGTTGTAGCACATATGATTCTGAACCAGTGACTATTGAGAAATGTTCTATAATTAATGCTTTCATAAAAATAAAATATGCTATAAAGAAACCAGATCAATTATATAATCTGCCAAGCACGTAAAATGATGACAGAAACGTTGTTTGCCATTTTTCACAGTTATTAATAGACACCTACAATCAGTCAGATATGCATATGGTGTTTAAACTGGTCATTGTGTCAAAATTCGATAAAATACTGCATCATATCGAACTTGTATGATGAAGAGATAAACATTGTGTGCGTTTATACCAATTAGTATGTTCATTTGATATATATAATATAGAATCATGTGATCATGTAAACGTTTTTAAACAAATATGATTATGTATGAAGTGTATTTTGACATGTATCGCGTGTTTATTAATAAATCACTTTTTTTTTCAATCTTAGCAATGGCTCCATTGGATGCAGGTATGAGGTGTTGGTAGCGCCAAGTAATGGTAATCCAATAAACACAACACAACTACTTAATTCCATAAAGGAAGCGGGATATACCAACGCACAATTTAATGTCTCGGGCAAAGACATTCTTTACATTGAGACTAATAAGACGGACAATGCAATTCAACAAGGTACGTAGAGGGATCAGGGTTCTCCCATTACGTTTTAAAATCGTAATGGGGTTGATTATCAATAAAGATAATAATACACATACAAGTTGATGTTTTAAGTCAAGCATTGCATATCTGAAAAACATAATTGTTAACATTAAAAAGGAAATTGGAATACATGAGTTATAGGCCAGAGAATACATGCTAGAGGCTAACATTCGAAAAGTTAATAATATTAATATGTAGACGTTAATTCTTACTAAAAGTCACTTAAACTAATGCAACATGTGTAAAATGGACATATTTACATAGACGGCTTTGAAACAGTTCATCGATAGTGAGACCAGGTATTCCAGAAGAACAAGCGTCTTTTGTTTCATTAGAAATTTCTATTTTTCTTGCTTTTGCCTATTAAGGTATAATTGATATCTTATGTATATTGAGTAACCTTGAATATATATCCAGTACGACTATAATGACTTTTTGTTGGTGTTTTAGCATTGGAACAAAACCATTTCGAGGAAGTCTTGCAGAAAGCATGCATAAAGTCAAACGTATGTTCATATGATACCGTATGTGTAGTAAATAAACAGGTTTTGACTTGCACACATAAGTGTAATGCAAATAACATCTGCTCAAAGAACGGAGAGTGCTACGTACACATAGACGGGAATGTGAAATGCAGGTAATGATTATCAATAATTTGAAATGTTTTTTAAAAAAAAATATGAAATTGAGATATATTCATGTATATTGTTTTTTGTATAACTTACTAACTAACGAAGAATTCTTAAGTTGAAAAACATAACACAATATTCCTTGTAATATTCACTTATAGCACACGCAGTGACGGGCATGTATCAAATAATCTTAATACCTAATAGCGAAAAAAGCAAAGCATTATGGTATATCGTATTTTTTTTAAAAAACATAATGGGTGAAATAGCAATTCTGTTTAAAACATGTGCATTAAAGATGAAAGGATAATTGATGAAGTTCGAAAGTGCCTAATTTTGAATATTTTAAGATAACTTCATTTCACCGATGCCGATATTTCTGCAATCACTGTACATGGCACATCACTTAATAGATAGTTTATTTTGCTCCTTAAAATTCTTTATTAAAACTAATACGTTAACATCTTACCCATAATAAAGTGGGTTATTNTTTCCCCAAAAAAAAGGGGGTTTTTTTTTTTTTTTTTTTTTTTTTACATCTTTGATAACATCGCAAGATAAATGTATATTATGATTAATACATGTTTTATCATCCTCCTGAAATATATCATATTCCAAGCACGTGTCTAAGAATCGCTGATTGGTAATTTTGATTTGTGATTTGCTTGAGAGATTCGGTAAATATGTACAAATATATATGAAATGACTAAATTTAACCTTATTCCAATCGTGGGAAATTCACATAACTCTTCATAAGTTCACAAATAATGTCTCTTCGTGAAAGTTTAAAGTTTATAAACAAAACATTGATTAATAGAAATTATAAAATATTCTAATATTAATTTTTTCCCTGTATGTCACTGGCAAAAAATCTTGCAAGATCTCACGACGTATCTGAAGATAAATGAAAAATGTATATAATTGCTTTGACCAAAGGAAAGACTTCATCACTCTTCAAAACAATATTTGTCTAACTTTGAATTGTTGCTTTTTCCCAGATGCAAAAAAGATTCTACCTATGTCTATAACGGTCACACTTGTAAAGACAAGGTTTTGGTATTCTTCAACGGTAAGAACACTACCATCATAGGTGCATGCGCTGGGGCGGCCATAGCTTTCCTCTTTCTACTTGTTATCTACTTTGTGGTGAGATGGAGAGAAAAACGAACGTCAAAAACAACTGAGTACGTATATAGAAACAGTGGTTATCGTTTATTATTTTACTTAACAGTTCCCGTAAACACATTTTTGTTTTATATTTGTCTAAAAGATACTTCCAGTTTTTTATATGATTGATTTTTCATTTTATTAATCTTCGAAATGGAAAACGACATTGAGTCATGTTACAGTTGTATGACCGCACAATGCACCAAAAACAGCGTGCGCACATTGTCCGCACATTGTGCTCACAATCGTGCATTTCAACAATGTTGTGCGCTTATGTCAATACATATTTGCGATATCGTACTATTGCATGGCTAATAAATTTTACGAAATGAAAAAAATGTGGAAGATTTGATATAAGATGCATCGTTTTATGTCATTTCTGGTAAGTATATTTTGCATCATATCCAAGTTTACAACGCGAATTAAAAATGTCAAGAATGGGGCCTGACTTCAGGTTACAGAACAGGTGAATAACCTTTGGATGAGTGACCGGGATATTTGCCTGGCCTGTGCCGGACACAGACACTCTAGACCTCGTGGAACGCCCCCCCCCCCCGGTACATGTACGTGCGTTTTTATGAGCGAGACCGTAACGATGTTTGCATTTACAAGTGTCGATTAATACAATGTCCGTTATTGATAAACATGAACAAAAAATGAACGATATAACACACCGATCTTGCTAAAATATTGTAACATACCGTAAACTTATCATTCTTTAGTTTTCAAATGAAATCGTTTTTATTCTTTAAGGCAATTCCTGTATATATATCAAGCACGATTGTTATCGCACACCGTTCGTTCTTCGTGCGAAAAGATCTGCGGAACATTGAATCGCATGTATTTCATCGTTCGCACATACACCTTATGCGTACACCATGACCACATCGTTCACGCTCCGTGCGCACACTGCACATCTTGTAACATGGTGATACCACAACTGTTCCTACCAACGTCTTGATAGTTTGCTACGGTAGAATATTCGATAAATATCGACTGCTTGCACCACGATAGTATTCTCAGTATATGAACAGTTTTGTACCTTTTCAGCCACATTGTATCCTCTAATACTTGCTGTATGGTTATTTTTTGTTAAGCTATTAATTTAAAATTTAATCCATTCAATAATACTACCTCATATCATAATTTAAAACTGTGACTGCCATACTTTTGTTCATAGCTAGGACGGTATGGTTGTAGCGGGCTTTTTTTGGACGATTAGTCTACTTCTTTCAGTTCCACAAGGTATAGAGTCTTGATATTTAATATGCTGAGATGTTCAGCTATCAGGTTTGAACAAATGGTTGACCATAGTCAACTATCAAGGTCACAATCGACAAATGTTTAAAAAAAAATCTGTAATCAAACATATTTCGAAAATTGGTCGATAGATTCACTTTATATTCAGGTATGACGTGGACAACGCCAATGCGCATACGTTTGGCAGAACACATTTTGAGTTGACCAGGTCAAGTTTTGAGTTATTTAGGGGTCAAATTTCATAGGTGCTATTTCAAGGTAACAACTTCCAAAATGTCTTTTAAAGTTCCACGATGTCTAGAGTCTTGATATATGATACATGACAGGTAATTGGCTATCAAGCTTGAAAACATGATTGACCTTGATTGACTTGAAGGTCACAGATGTCATTTATGTAAAAATATGCAAACCACATTTTTCTGACTTCTAATTTGTCTTGTTTAAAATTGGTGCAAAAGAATGACATTGACCTACTCTAAATAAAATTTTAAAAGTGAAAGTAAAATACCGTTTGTCTTTTGTGCGATTTTGCCGTTTTCTCTGAAATCTCAGTACTTTGATTTATATTTAGACACAAAAAATGCAGGTTTGTATTCTATATTTAGACTTCTGTGAAAAGCCCGTCAAATTGTTATCAACAATTTATAGGTTTATTTGAATGAGTGTATTTCGAAATGAATGGTTTGTCTTTGTCTGTCTGTTGTATGTCTTGAAAAAATGAGTAGCGGACTGCTCCAAAAATTCCACTTCATTTTTCCCACACTGTCGACAGCTTTAAGTGTTCTATATAATCATGGATTTTTCAAACTCTTCGAGCTGAATTGCCTCATTTGTTTTTATATTTTGTTGTTGTTGTATCCCTTACTTTTTATCACTCCTACCAATGATATATATTAATACTACATGGTTCTATACTTTTAACTACTCCGTGTAACAGCAGCAGGGTATGCACAGGGAGCATTAATGACTTGCATAAAAATTAAAATTAAATCGTAGCAATTTCTGTTTAATATAGCATTAGGGCATTTCTTGCCTATTACTAATACATTCTGATATCAATTCAATATTTATATATAATCGAAACATACTTTGAGCTATCTCCCCTATACCTTCTGCTATATATAGACTGCGAATTTATGCTACTTATAATTAATAATTTGCATCCATATTTGTTTACGAACCGTTTCATCTTTGTCTTTGTCATGTCAACCTAAGGAGAGAAATTATATAGGCCTAGCCTGCTGTTCAATCCTATTGTTTATTCAAAAAATATGATGAAATGAAAGGGATGTTGCTAGAACTAAATGAAAAAAATCATTATTAAAGATATTCATGTATTTTTCAAAGTGAAAAGCTGTCCGACCCTGAAGAGATAAGGAAGGATAACTCCCAGATCGAGAACGTGCCGATGGATGGTATGGGGAAGACTAACCCGATGTACCGTCCACATATCAGTAACCACCAGCAAGAAGGACACGGTAACTACTACCCCGGGGAACGCTCGGACAGGGATAACATATACGAGGACGAGCTGGCTTATGATAAAGGAAGATACTACAGAGTACTCAACGATCCGAAAAGTAGGTCAAAGGTCAGTTGTTTACTTATTTTTGATGATACCATTTCCAAATGGCATTGCCCTGACCGCCCATTACATTTGTAGTCTGTTTGCGGATACTCATCCATTCTGAAAATGATCAACATATATCTTATAGTTGAATCAAAACAAACCACTCGAACTGATACTTGGCTATAGTAAGCAAAATTGTGTAATTATGTTGAGTTTGAGCCCTATCCATTAAATTACGAAGATATTTTCAATAATTCTAAAGGTTTTCAGTATTTTAATTTAATAGATATGTAGTTATATTTTATAACTTCAGTGAATCAAAGAGCGCCAACATAGCTATATATAACTATAATTGGCTTAGTGTCAACATTCCTTGAACATTTTTCACCAAACAATAATATCTTCTTTTTTTTACGCCAGAAACTATATTTCTATTTACTAAATCACGTTTAACATTACTCATTTCAGGCATTGGTGTACCAACCCTCTAACATGTCGAGTCCTGAAAAGAGAACAGAAACTATGTCTAAGTTTGATGATCTCGCGTCCAAGCCGCAACCTTATAATAGGAGACAAGAGATGGAGCATCAGCCCTTTCACGATATGCTCAACACAGAACAGCCGGTAACACAAATTAATACAATAGTTTAATTAGAAGTTATAAACCTTAATTATTAATATTAATGTAAAGAATATGTAATACAAAATGGATTTAAAAATATCATTCGTATCTAAATGCTTAATGGGGAATCTAAATTAACAAGATTTTAATTATTCAATATTACATTGTGTAAATATATGATATTCCGTTTTCCTTCCCAACTAAACGCGGTAAACATCAAATCCAATATTAAACGGCTATGCCGTACAAAATAACCACACTGCATGAAAGATGCCCTGCGATCGAACAGATGGTACAAAGGAATGTAGTTGCGGCGAAATTATTCAGGCTCGTATTGAGAACAATGGGATACAACTCTTATTTGTATACTAGTCTTGTGATCAGTTGGCGTATTTCTCTCAAAGGGTTAATTTTTCAAAATTTTCAAAGACGTTATGAACACGGTAGTTTTATTAATACGAATGTATTTTCAAATGACGTTTCTTGTCCTTAAGTTCAGTTTTACGAGACAAAAAATCATGCTTAAAATTGAAACTACATTCCTCTTTTTTAAATTAATATGCGTTTAATTTTGAGATGATGTAGCTGTGGAAGTTTTAAAATGAGTCGTTTGTTTTATTTCAGTACGAAATCAGACGGCCGCAGCTCATGACAAATGCGGTTAACTCATATGGGTAAGTATATAACTCTTCCTGTTTGGATTTTGACATCGTGAGAGGTATCACGCATCGTACCGGTAAGTTTCCTGTGTTATTGTGAAATCTATAAGTTTCCTTGAATTAGGATTTTCAAACAAATGAACATTTTGGGAATAGTTTAGTTTACGTGGCACTTTTTCTTTTCATGCAATACACATCTGAAACTGATTAAAGTTTTCAAATAACCCCACAGTACCTTCATTTTCAAAAAAGCACAAGAAATTAAGCGGAAATGTAAATTCGCAGATTAACGGATTTTACGAAATTTAATTATTTGCAGTTTCTATCTCTTGCAGCCATTATGATATAAGTTTTTTTTTTATTTCAAAAATATTTTACGCTGTTTACTAATAATTTCCCTGACAATGTCATGATGTTTATATCAATCAAAAATATACCTGTTATGTCATCTTTGACTAATAATTATAAATAGTTACTTTTTTTCTGTATTTTCTTTGTTGAATATTGATTTTGAAACAACTTAAAGCAGCAATACAATAATACACATTAAAAGGTATCGTGATCGTTTTCATGTTTATTAGTCAGTTGTTATCATTTATCAATTAATAAAACAACCATGAATGCATAATCTGTCATTATAAATTAGATAATTGTTTCATTGTAATGCTAATTATGTAATTTAATCTTTCGACAATTGCTGAAATATTCAGTAATGCATACTTGCAAATAAGAAAATTTCAGACGATAGAAATAGTAAAATTAAATTTCAACTCAGTATGAGTATCTATCATTACTTATATCGGATTACGCAAGTTAGGTTACTTAGAGATGGATATTGTTAAGACTTTGAATCATATAGGTTGTTAAATGTTCATAGTTTTGGTCAAAAAAAGACAGATAAAGTTTATAATGTATCACGTTATGAAACTTACATTGTGGTATATATTACTTTTTCAGATACCGATGAAGTAGAGTGACATCACAGATACCAGTGTACTACCTGGAAATGTTATAGAAAAACTGTTCTGAGATAATTAAGTATGATAATACAATTTGGGATTGAGAATTGATTAACATAATAGATATGCAATTTCCAGCATATGATAAGGGTATAATGTGTTAAATTCAATTGCTTCTGAGGTAAAGATCTGAATTGACGTTTTGTGTTCATGTATACTGTCAATTAATTAATTTTTGCGGTTACTTTATTTCTTGAACTTATGACGTAATAGTTTGCTTGCTTTTTTTAATTTGCGAGTGAGAGGATGCTACTTAAATATTTCCAGGGATTAAGTTTGAAATTCAGATGCGCGAAAAATTAAATTAAGCAAATTACTTTGCTTGCATATCAATGCAAAAATAAAGTTCTGGTGAAAATAAAGCGATTTGCAGTTGAGTAACATTTTGGAGTAACAATCTCAGATAAAGCTACTAACTAAAACTGACGGGAATATGAAATGAGTACTCAATACTTTTGTTTTGATAAACTGATGATATGAAATATTGTCGCAAATGTATTGTCGATTCATTCATTGTAACCATTTTTTTTGCTCGAAATTATTACATATAGCAAATATCTGCCAAGAGTTGTGAGGTCATAGCTTTGCTTCTTGTGACGTGAAGTAGTGGGTGGAATGATATGTTACATATCAAAACGTGATTTGTAAATTGTTTTGCATTGTAGAAAGAGTATATGACAGAAATAAAAACATTAAGAAATGTGTACTTTTATCAAGTTCTATTTAGTTTATGTGTTTTATATGGTTGTATGTAAATATTTTTAAAAATCTTTTTACGTTTTGTTGAAAATGTTGTGAGATTTTTAAGTACGTCAACATGTTATGAGTAATTTTTATTTGATTTGTTGAATACTTTGTGACGATTTTATCATTATGAATGACATGATGTGGATTTAATATGCTTGTTTGAAAAAAATGTGTTATAATTATGCCTTTTCAATATTTTTGTATAATTTTTTTCTTTAGAGACATTTTGCTCTTTTTTTATCTTATTCTTGTGCGTTTATCAAAATATACTTGGAACATGTATTGGTTATGTTAGATATATAAGTTCATGATTTATCCTTATTTGATCTGATGCATAGCATAATCTCATAATGCAATTTTCTACGTAATACAATTTTCAGTTATTGACAGAAAGGACTCAGTAAGTATCATTAAGGATGCCTGTTCCACTGCAAGCAAGTTCTAAAGAACTCCACCCTTAGTTTCGCCTTTGGCGTTTTTGAAGCGCGACCGCAACAGGGTTACCGTTGACCATTGCAGCTCAGTTGTTTGTAGTTGTCTTTTTGTTTATTTTATCATGATTTCTTAAATAAAAATTAAAGGTCCGGTTTTCTTTTCAGAAATGATTTATTAAAACTATTGGCATGCATAGTTATAGTTTTATATTGCAATGATATAAGGGTACTCATTTCGTTGAATGGGTTGTCTTTCGTTACTGCTACATGAATATCAATCTCAATCGTGCTTAGATATATAAAGCGTCACACATTCAGATGTGCATGAGTCTAAATTATGTTAAGTTTTTAATTTATTATTAACTTACGAATAACCATATCAGTTGTGTCAATAAACATTTAACGTCAATTTATATATGTTTTTTATTTGATGATATACATCTGTTGATATATCGTCTTTCCCTTCCGATACGTGAATTAAAAGTAATTGTCTTGACTTTCCTGATTTTGACCTTAATTACCATTGTTGAGATCTAAATGGACACTTAGCTACATGGTACAGTACATATTAACTTTCTTTCTGGCTTTTCCATCAGCTTAAGAAATATGTCTCTCCTTACTTTGTACTGCTGCGATTATTTAATGTAGACTCAAATTGCAATAAAATCATTTTCATGAAATATTCCAGTTTTGTTTATTTTTGTCATGATGTTGTTAAACGTACAGACGTTCGTTATGATCAGATGCTGTCTCTAGTGGACGCTTGAACGGACGGTCTGACATACAGAGCTTAATCTCCTTTATACCTACAATAACGCTATAACGGTACTGGTATGTTCAGCCATAAGCAGTCTTTGTCTTAACCTAACATGTCATTTCACGAGGCACACGCATTTCTCTTAATGAGGACAAATTTGTCGTTAGAAACAGTAAGACAAGATAGCGCCATGACTTAAAGCTATTGGAGAGTCAAAGGTGTAGTTCAAATAGGGAAATTTGGTTATCAGTTTACCAATATTTGTGAAACTCTGTGACGATATATTTCAATTAACTGGCTTATCCCGATGATAATATTTATACAGTGCAATTAAAACACATTTGAAAATGGAATTGGAATATGAAAATATAAGAGTTCATTATCCGGAAGGTATTTGATAACAATACGTGCTTTAAAAAAATTGTCCTCGGCGCATTACTTATATCCTGTCCGGTAATGATTAACATTTTAATTGATTAGTATGTGCCTTTTTCCATCTAAAGGTGATAGCCAAGCAATTGTACATTAAATGGATCTTATTTATATATAAACTTTATTCATTTTACAACAATTATAAAACAACCTTTTCCAACCTATATTTACAACTCTCTTGTTGACTCGGATATTACTGGGGTCTTTCTGTGGGAGGAAACCGGATAACCTGGAGAAAATTCACGTGGTCGGGCAGGTGACCCCATACCTTTTTCAAGTCTAATCGGGGAATCTAACCCTAGTCGGCACCTTGGTGAAAAGCAAGTGCACTATCCACTGCACCTACCGACCACTCAAAATGTGATTGCTAATGAAAGTTCTATTCTTGCGAAATAAACTAGTGCTGACAAACTCCATTACAACTAATCCTCACACAACATTATTATTACTACAACTTCCTGTATTACAACCACACATAACTACTCACATTTTGCTAAGGATCACTTTTATTTTTGGGCATATGTGAATATATGTTCCCAGCTCCTGGAGCGTTCTTGGCGAGCGGGCTGGCCAATCCAGCTCGACATACGACAATTAACATTCAGAATTTGAATGCTGAACCAGTTTGACACACGACATTCATCATTCAGAATTTGAATGTTGTGCCAGCTTGACACACGAAATTCAACATTCAGAATTTCAATATTGAACCAGCTCGACATTCGACATTCAACATTCAGAATTTGAGCGTTCAGCTGGTTCAACATTCAGAATTTGAATATTTAGCCAGCTTGACATACGACATTCAACATTTACAATTTGAATGTTGAACCAGATTGACATATGACATTTAACATTCAGAATGTGAATGTTGAGCAAGCTTGACACACAAAATTCAACATTCAGAATTTTAATATTGAACCAGCTCGACATTCGACATTCATCATTCAGAATTTGAATATTGAGCCAACTCGACATACAACATTCAACATTCAACATTCAGAATTTGAATTTTGTGCCAGCTTGACATTCGACATTCAACATTCAGAAATTGAATGTTTTTCCAACTCGACATAAGACATTCAACATTCAGAATTTGAATGTTGAGCCAGCTCGACATACGACATTCAGTCCCCTGATAAAGCCCTGCATAGGATGTGAAATTATATGCCAGGAATGCGAAGATGATAAAAATCATGCTGAACCAATGCTTCACACTGATTGTTTGACAGACCCATCGCATTCAAATTGCATTTGGTGGTTTTAATGTAAATGAATTCAGGAATATTACTTATTTTAGTAGGCAATATCAGAAGTTCAAAGCAAGTGAGCCCTTGCTCCACGTAATAAGTTCCAGTGACAGGAGACCAAGCCCAAAGAATTTGTCCTTTGATGTAGGTCAAATGTCAAAATGTAGGTCAGAGGGATCCACTTTGTATGCTGGTACACTGCATCACCTAGGTGAACCCATGACCCAAGTTATGAAGTTCCAGTGACAAGTAGAAACAGCCCAGACAAGCTTTTTCTTTGATGTAGGTCAAAGGTCAAAATGTAGGTTTAATTTTTTTAATTAGATTAGATTAATAAGAGCACTGGCAAAGATTTTCTCACATGAGGCCAAATGGGCCTGTATCGCTCACCTGTTTATAATGCAACTTTTGAAGTTAACATAGGTCATTTATGCAGATACTAAGCCGATTACCACTTCATTCAAATATCAGAGTAGTCTAGGTTTATTCATTAAAATACATTTTGAAGCCCTTTATTCCAGCATACTACCGGCCCAATATTAGGTCTCTTGGTCTCGTGTTCATCAAGAAATTGTTGTTTAAAGATTTTAACACCTTTGACTCCTGTGACCCTGAATGTAGGTCAATGTTATTCATTTGAACAAAACTTGCAATCGGTAGCCCTTCATCCCAGCATGCCACAACCCAATATCAGGTATCTGGGCCTCTTGGTAATTAACCAGAAGTTGTTTAAAAGATTTTAGCATATTTGACCCCTGTGAGCTTGAATATAGGTCAAAGTCATACATTTGAACAAGTTGGTAGCCCTCCACCCCAGCATGCTATAAGTTAAGCCCATTAGCATGTCTCTAGGCCTCTTGGTTACATTGAGAAGTTGTTTAAATATTTTAGTCTATTTGACCCCTGTGACCTTGAATGTAGGTCAAGGTCATTCATTTGAACACACTTGGTAGCCCTTCACCCAAGCATGCTATATATATATATATATATATAGGCCCAAATTCAGGTCTCTGGGCCTCTTGGTTATTGAGAAATGTCATTTAAAGATTTGAGCCTATTTGACCCCTGTGACCTTGAGTGAAGGTCAAGGTCATTCATTTGAATAAACTTGGTAGTCCTTCACCCAAGCATGCTACAAGCCCAATATCGGGTCTCTGGCCTTCTTGGTTATTGAGAAGAAGTTTTTTAAAATAGTTTAGCCTATTTGACCCCTGTGACCTTTATTGTAGGTCAAGGTCATTCATTTGAACAAGCGTGGTAGCCCTTCACCCCAGCATGCTACAGGCCCAATATCGGGTCTCTGGGGCTTTTGGTTTTTGAGAAAAAGCTGTTTAAAGCAAAATTAAGCTGATGGCGGGCGCCGGACGCCGTACCATGGCATAAGCTCACTAGCCCTTCGGGCAGATGAGCTAAAAATTGACATTGACTGAATTACATAATATTCATTTCATTTGTATATTACATATTTCATTTGTATGATACATATTTCATTTGTATAATAACCATAAAATTACATTGTGTTTATATTATTTTATCTTTAATGTAATATATACATAGTTATATTTACATTCACCAAAACACATTTGAGATCTGTCCAGTACTTTATAGACTTTCTCCTAAAATCGAAGATGGCCAACTATAGTGGCGATGTGTACAAAATTTGACAGAGATAATTGTTTCAAAGATCATTTGCAGCCAAGTTTACTTGGCAACACACTTCTTGGTGCGGATAGATTGGAAACAGGATGCGGTAGATGTCTGTGAAACAAAATTTATCCTTGTTTCTGCCTTTTTGTAAAACTTCAGAAATTCCTCTAAATCTTTATGTAATCCTGACTTCTCAAGATCTATAAAAGAACTAATATTTTCTTTAGTAAACAGAGTGAAATTCAAGAAAAGCCAAATGATTATTACAGTAACCTCATCTAGCTGGTCTGTGATCAGACCTGAATGAAAAAATAACGGAAGCTGTTCCTGGATGTGCAATAAGTAGTCATTTTCAGGGTCATACAGACAGATAGTAACATGTTCTGGCGTGGCTCCAAACGTCGGAATCAGGAAGTGTGACAGTGAGCCCCTATTCATGTTAACTTGAGCAAAGCCATTTGTTATAGCTTCAGCCAAGATTTGTTGAATGACTTTCTGATCTAAGAGAACAATGTCATGCTTCTTGCCAGCTTTCTCTTCAACACAGATATCACAACTCTCCACCTTTCTTCTTTTCCATTCAGTTTCACCTTCATTTTCATCCACGTCTTCTTCCTCTTCCTCTTTGCTGACAATTTGCTTCTTTAAAACTGTCACAGCAATTGTATGATTCAGCAAAATATCTACTCTGCCATGCCATGTTCCTGGTGACCCTGTTGAGACAATAAATATGAATGTACCATTCCCCTTATTTGAATTCATAAAAGGGGCAGACCCCAGGATCAATTCTTATACAGTGGAACCATCACATATTATGATATCTGATATTATGATAATTATTGCTTTTTACAATAAATATTCTTTTTTTTAACTAAGAAATACAAGAGGCCCAGTGCACCTGTATTGCTCAACTGAATATTCAAGCAACAAAAAAAACACGAGCACCGCAAACGGATGCATAATCACCCGTCTGACCCTATCCAATGATTGTTTTAAAATGCTTGCACTGATGCTTTTGTTACCAAGAGTGATAGTCATCACTATACTATTAACATTTAATGTAATTGGTTCTTTGCTAATGTACTGCATAATGCCTCTTTATCAGGGCATGCAGTATCTGTATCTGTATATTACTGGAAGACCTCAAATTTGAGTATAAATTCCAGGGTTGGAGGAGTGCGCTTTTAGTTTATATTGTTTCAGTTTGAAGTGCTGTCTTGAAGCTTTTAAGTTCTTGCATTTTGACGAGGTCTTCTGGTAGATTATTCCACTCTGTTGTTGTTCGAGGAAAAAATGAAAATGTCCGTATTACACTGGAAATGTCGGTAATTTTCACTATTTTTTTATCTGGTACGGGTGTTTGATGGAGCCAATATGTGATCTACAGGTATGGCCACCAGCCCCTTCACGATCTTATAAAAGAGGGCAAGCCGATGGTCTCTCCTGCGATCCTTTAGTGGTGTTAGTTTTAGAGTGCCCATTATTTCTGTTACACTGCTGTCCCTTCTATAGTTTGATGTTATAAATCGGGCAGCGCGGCGTTGTACATTTTCCAGCGAGTGGATGTTGTTTTGTTGGTACAGGTAAGGGTCCCATATCGTACAGCTGTATTCCAGGACGGATCTCACCAACGATTTGTATGCTGTCTGTCAGTTTCAGTTTCAGTAGACCCAAAAGTGGTCCAAAAATAGAAATCATTTCCCCAAATTAAATCCATATTGTCCTTGTGAGACCCCACACTTAGTGAACATCCATGGACAAAATTAGGACAATACCACATGATCTGACTGAACTGTAGATCACTGAAGAAACTTGCACCAAAACTTTAACTGAGAAATTGCCCAAGAAAAGGTAAGTCCCAAACACGTCCAAAATTTACAGAAATAGGAATTATTTTCCCAAATCAAATCCATATTGTCCTTATTAGACCCCATATGAACATCCATGCCAAAATAAGGACAATACTACCACATGATCTGACTGAACTGTAGACCACTGAAGAAACTTGCACCAAAACTTTAACCGAGGAATTGCCATAGAAAAGATAAGTTCAAAACACGTTCAAAATTTACAAAAATAAGAATTATTTTCCCAAATTAAATCCATATTGTCCTTGTTAGAACATCCATGCCAAAAATTAGGAAAATAACACATTATCTGACTGAACTGTAGACCATCTTGGATTTCGAACCGACCCGAAAAATAACAACAGTTGGTCAGGACCATTTCAGGAAAGTTAGAGCTGAATCCAACAGGTGGAACTTGAGAAGAAGTTTAAAATAGGTTTTGTTCAGGAAAACCATGTTTGCGCAATCATGTTACAAAATGGCAGCCTTGCTGCAGTGTCGAAGTTTTAACCAGGCCAGAAAATAACAACACTCTGTCAGCTTCCTTTCCTTAACATCCTCACCAATTTCCAACTCAATGGCACCAGTGAAATTGGAGAAGAATTTTAAAATGTGTTTTTCAAGATGGTGGCCATCTTGGATTTCGCACTGACCCGAAAAATAACAACACTTGGTCAGGACCATCTCAGGATCATTTCAGGTAAGTTTGAGCTAAATCCTATATATGTGGAACTTGAGGAGAAGTTTGAAATGTGAAAAGTTTACGCACGGTGGACAATGCCGGGGTCAGCCCTTCGGGTCAGATGACCTAAAAAGTAACGTGGACCTTGACCTTGAACAACCCTGAAATTCGAATTTGTCCCAGATCAAAATCCCTCAAGGAATGAAGCTGCAAGAGTGCTGACAAGGATTTTCTAAAAAAATAGTTATGGTGACCTTGACCTTTACCTTGACCCAACAACCCTGAAACTCGATCAAGTTTGATCAAAATCCAGTGAGGGACTAATAACAACACTTTCAAGAATGTTTCAGACAAGTTTGACCCGAATCCCCCTGGTGGAAATTGAGAAGAAGTTCAAAATAGTTTTTTTTCCAAGATGGCGGCCATCTTTGATCTTCGACCGACCCGAAATATAACAACACTTGGCCAGGACCATCTTAGGATCATTTCATAGAAGTTTGAGCTGAATCCCTTAAGAAAGGTCTGAAATGTGAAAATTTTACGGACAACGGCAGACAAAACAGGATTGCTAGAGGTCATCCGGTGACCCTTCGGGTCAGATGACCTAAAAACATAACTGATCTTACCTACTGCAGTATTTCCTCCACAAACATCAGCCTTACAACCACAGCCGCATTCTTTTGGGACTTGCTTTGCGAATTCATCTACCTCATACTTCTTGCCTGGCACCAACTGGGAAAACAGGTGATGAGCCAACACAGCCATAACCTGTGTCTCTTTACTTCCATTTGCTGAGGGAGTCATTTGAAAAACTTTTTGAAGTGCCTTTCCATGTTTTTTTTGCTCTAGAAAACAGAAAAAAAAGTAATGATTTTTCTGTATCAAATACATGTTATATCTTAGATACCTTTTACTTGTTTTTCTACGAGATGTATCCAAAAAAGTCTTAAAGGTCATAGGAGTGTATTGATAAATGGAAGTAGGAAGTACATCCCTAGTTGAAAATCCAATGTAGGGAGACAGTACATATCACAATTTCCGCATATTCGAATGTTTAATATTAAACTGATGAATGTTGTATGTTTATTATTGACAGAACAGTGTTTTCTTTCAATATTAAAGTATTTCAAAGCAATGCAGGCATTAATTCAGGTATTTTTTAATCAATGAGCCACATGTATCCATTTTTCTGTACTTCAGGAAACCCGCTACCTATTTCACTACTGTAAAGTTTTTCAAGAAAGATAACTCTTACCCACAATAACTATGTGCATATGGTTTTATCATAAAATGTCAATTTTTTATCCTTTAAAGATCATTTATTTGACATAATTTCAGCATTTAGCAAATTGATATACATTAATGTAATACTAATCTATGGTAGTATCATTTTTACTGACATTATTTTGCAACAAATTGTGTCTTTCATTTTTTTTTCAAAAGTCACCCCTTTTTACATAAATTTCCAATTTAAATTCCTTAAAATTATGACAACCTATATTTTTTTTGTGGCAGAAATTTTTCTTTACTTCGAAGCAATATAATTACAAAATTTGAAGAAATTCTACTGAGAAATAACGACACAATCCTATTACCTTAAACTATAACCCAGGTCCTATAACGGATGCAATGGGGAACTACGACTGTACTGTAGAAGAATTCAGGATAAAATGGGTTGAACAACAATATATTGTGTTACCAGGGAGACAAACCATGCAAACAAATACTGCTTACTAATGCTCAGCTTATTAGTTACAGGGGTGGAATTAGCCAATCGTCCGAGACCATAGTTTTTCAGGTAGACCAGTGGGTTTTTTAACCCAATTGTATAAATACAGGAATCGGACGTTATCTTATAATTTTGTTAAATTATCTTAACTTTCAGCTGATTTGAAAAGTTTTATTTTAAGCACAAAATGTACCAGATTGCACCGTGTGCAGAGCTAGCTTTTAGATTTGAAAATACCCCGGACCACCCTAAACTGAGCCATAGCTATTGCTAGCGGATCGAGGGGCCTTCATGCAGCACTTGCATGATCGATGTGTTGGACCAGTGCGCTTCCACTCTTTTTAATTCCACCCCTCATTAACAGAATATGGTTAATACAAGTTCACGTTTATTCTCTGAAATGTTCACATAGGCCCATGGCAAAACAATTTGCATTCATAAAAGATGCCCATGAGGGGCCTTAACGGTCACCTGATCATGAGTTCTAATATATTTCAGTCAATTTGACCCCTTTTGGCCTCGCCGGGCTCATCTTCCCCTTGGGGTTAGTCAGGGCCAATATGTGCATACCATCAAACTGCCATCCCATACTAATAAATCTAACCAAATTTTGATTATTTCTGATGACAATTCAACAAATGATGCTCAAAAAGGTAATTTCTCTTATATAAACTATAGCAAATTTTACCCCCTCCTCTGAGGGAAAAGTGAGACCCCAGGGTCATGAAATTCACAATTTTGGTAAAGCACCTTATATTTAAGAACATTCCATCTATGAAGAATATTTGATTCTACCATATCTGGGTCTTGAGAAGAAGATTTTTGAAAATAGGTGTTGCATGGCCACCCACGATACTTTTTTTTTTTTTTAGCGTAAATAAATGTATTGGCATGGAATACACATTGAAACAGTGTTTATTCCTTAAATAGACTAATTAAGTTGGCAACTGCAGCGCCACCTTTCTTACCTTTCGCAGCTTGGGTCCTCAGACTTGTGTGCCTTTAATGTAATATATGTTGACATACAACAAGAGGCCCATAGGCCTTAATGGTCACCTGAGTCCTACAGTATTTATTTTTGTTGTTGAAATATGTACCAATATGAGTATAAAATAGTAAAGTATAACGTTAACTTAAGTTTGTCAGGACCATGAGTCGATCATTCCTTGACTGAGTTTCAGTTAAATCGGCCTATTAGAACTTGTTTTTAAGTTTGAAATTGTTTTTTCAAAATGGCGGCCAAATTCGATTTCTGATCGACCTAAAGAATAACAACACTTTGTCAGGACTATGAGTCGATCATTACTATTAAGTTTCAGTTCAATCGGCCCAGTAGAACTTGAATGTGTTTTTCAAGATGGCTGCCATGGCGGCCATCTTGGATTTTGGACTGACCTGAACGCTTGGTCAGGACCATCTCAGGATCATTTGTAACTGCTGAATCACACTGGTGGAACTTGAGAAAAAGTTTAAAACAGGAAAACCATGATTGCGTAATCATGTCACAAAATGGCTGCCATGTCAAAGTTTTTACGAGGCCGTAAAATAACAACACTTTCTTGGCTCACCTTCCTTAACATCATGACTCTAGGGCTCTTGGTTATTGAGAATAATTCGTTTAAAGGTTTTAACAAATTCGATCCCTGTGGCCTTGAATATGGGTCAAGGTTATTTCTTTTTGCAAACTTTGACGGGCCTCATCCGAGGAACCTATAATCAGCCAAATATCCTGACTCTCGGAGATTTGATTAGTGAGGAGAAGTTGTTTAAATGGAAAAGTTGACGCCGGACAGACTGTATTTCCCTTTTGGGCCCCTCCCCTCAAGCCCCTAGGGGGCCAGACCAACTGTTTATACACAATTGGTTCCCCTTTAATTTACCCTAGGATGCTTAAGATCAAATATGGATCAATACCTTTCATTCCTACAGAATTAAGGAGAAGGATTTTAAAGAATTTGCTATATTTCCCCTATTGGGCCCCGCCCCTCAGGCCCCTGGGGGGCCAGACCCACCATTTATACAAAATTTGTTTCCCTTCACCCAAGAATGCTACAGACCAAATATGGACCGATTCATACAGAAGAGGAAGGATTTTAAAGAATTTGCTATATTTCCCCTATTAGGCCCCGCCTCTCAGGCCCCTGGTGGGGCCACACCCACCGTTTATACAAGATTTGCTCCCGAGGATGCTTCTGACTAAGTTTAGTAAAAATCTGCTAAGTTGTTCATGATGAGTAGCAATTTTTAGAAAAAGTTGACTGACGGATGCCAGACGACGGACGGACGACAGACGCAGTGCCATGGCATAAGCTCATCGGCCCTTCGGACGAGGTGAGTTAACAAGCGGCCCAGAGGGCCTGCATCATTCACTTGGATATTTCAGTAAACATGGCAAAACACTCTCATATAAGTTATATTACAAATATTTTCCTACTTTTGAGCTGCCTCTCCCAACAATTGTTCAAACCAAATGCGGACTAAAACCTGTCATTCTTAAAGAGAAGAAGGATTTTAAAGTTTTTTGCTATATTTCCCCTATCGGGCCCCCTCACTCCGGCCTCAGGGGAGCCACACTCCTCATATACAACATTGAATCTCCTTTGCCCAATAATGCTACAGACCTAATTTCATCAAAATCCATTCAGTCGTTCAAACTAGCAGCGATTTAAATGATTTACCTCTATTTCCCCTATTGGGCCCTGCACCATGACCCTCCGGCCCCAGGGGAGCCACACCCTCCGTTTATTTAAGCATTAAACTGTCTTCTTTGGCAAGTTATTGTCCTATAATTCTCATAAAATTGCAGACAAATTTAATAACGTGCAATAGCGCATCATGATTAACTTGTGAGTATTATAGGACAATAACTTTCCAAGGAAGGCAGTTTAATACTTATATTTCCGTTTTAAATTTAAGTTTTTAATCCGGTAGCACGCATTTTCGCGACGTCAAAAATACACTTAATAAAATGACGTCAGACAAAACGACGTCATTTAGTGACGACGTCACGCACATTGTTCACTATATTTACATTTCCACTGCACAGAGCCTAGATGTTTCTACTGGGCCCAATGTATGTTATTTCCGTATAACATACATTGGGCCATTGTGACGTCGCTATGCTAATGACGTCATAACTGTACTATTGGAGATTGCACTGCTCCACTGTCAACTGGTGGCTGTTCGCTGTATGGATTTACCCTGACGTTAAAATGTGTTCAGACTAATATTATGTCTTTATTTCTGCGTGAACTGTAAGTTGTTTAACATAAAATGTATAAGTATTGGTTGTCATACCAATCCTTAAATACCATTAGGAATTATATGTGAGAATTATGATATGATAACTTCCTATTTTGTTTGGTAAGGTTACATAGTGACAATGCATCTAGCAATTGAAAATGGAAATTAATACAACATTGGATCTTCTTTGCCTAATCATGCTCCAGACCAAATTTCATCAAAATCTATTCAGTCGTTCAGGACTATAGTTGCGATTTAAAGGAAATGTTGAAGGACGATGGACGCTGCACCATGGCGTGAGCTCACTGGCCCTTTGGGTACACATAGTACAAACAAGTTATAGAATTAACGTTAAGCTTAACCCTGTCAGCTTAACCTGTAAAATCCTAATAATTTACCACGTAGGAATTCCATCAACACCAAGAAGGCTTGCTGATGAGAACTGGTGTATTTCTCGATGGCATCTACTCCACCTGCTGAAAATTCCCCAAGAATATGTGCATTTAAAATATCCTTCATGTGAAGAAATCCACACTCTGGCCTGCCAGACTCGCAGTAGTTTTCTCGTAGTGCATAGATTCGCTGCTCAGCAGTTACTCGCAGATAAACCGACGCATCGGTGAAACACGTTCCCTCAGCAGCGTTGCTATTCTTTATAACTAAGTTTAAAAATCCAGGGTGATTCTGTTCAGTAAAAAGCCATTTAAAAATACGTTTCAAGTATGCTTCCTCGTTAGACCCTCTGAATTCATCGAGAATAGGCCTAGGCCTACTTGAGGCCTTTTTAGCCCTTCTGTACGGTGATACTAATTAAAGCCCGGTATGTACCGTCCGGTAACAAGAGCCCGGCACTTCCCGGTAATACAAATTTAAAATTAGAATGAGACATCTTATATATAGTAAATGAGATGCATATTATAAATTTTATATAAAGGATATCTCATTTAATTTCTATACACGAATAAGATATTTTACATAATCTCATGAAACCAGTTCAAGTTGGCTTGTCATATATCAATTACCAATTTGTTAGATGCTCCAGAGACGTATAAAGCCATTTGTGTTATATACGTCTCTGGGTGCTCTAATATTTTGCCATGCGGTTTATGGTGTAACATCTGTGTGTATCAAATTAGTAACATATATGTAGTATATCAATTTATTAAACGGTTTTAAGTTAAGTTTTGGTGAAGGCTCCGATCGCGAGCGGTCCAGACAATTTATAGAACAGTTACGACATCTTCAACACCGGTTTGAAAAAAAAATGTAAAGGTATTTTTTTGTAACGTCTTTTCGCATGTATATTTAAACTTTATTGATTTTACAACAATTATGAAACAAGTTTTACAACTAATCACGTACCTTTTCACGTCCGATTGGGAAATCTAACCCCGGCCGCCTTGGTGAAAGGCAAGTGCAATATCCACTGTTCCTTCCGACCATCCATTTATTTGAAATTCGAACCATAAAAGTTATATTTGTATATGATACAGCGTTGTACCATAAGTTCTGTCGGAGGATGTAAGGGGAGAATAGTCCCCCTTGGAGGTAAGTGGATATTTTTGTTAAATGTTGGGGCGATATATATAATGTCCATGTGTGTCGTTGGACGAGCCATCCCAGTCCTCTAACGCCCCTTTAACAGGCCGTCTAGTGTACGATTCGCTTTTTTGAAATTCACCCCGCGAACAGTATCAATATTCCGACCTTTATCTACTAGATGACGATTTACAGCCCCTCTTATATTGATAAGTGTATTTCTATGGTATTCCTCGGCCTGGTGCGCTGGCATGTTTCTGCCCGTTGCTTTGTGTGTTTTTAGGCTTCGCCTCATAATAAAATTTGGCGAGGACATCTGCGAGGTCTTCCTCACTAACGCTCTCTAGGTCCAAGTCTGTCCCAAAGACCTCTTGGTTCCAATCTAAATGTAAACAAAAATATCTCTTTTAGCCTATAGATTTGGAAAAAGAGCGTCATTTGTGTGATGGTTTAAATGGTTAGATAATTACTTTATATCAATTACTGATTCATTTTACCAGTTCTAGATAACAGAACGAATTACACGGATCGAAAATTCAACAATTTCCAAATCTGATCTTTTAATCCATTTAACTGTTTAATAGCTGACATGATTTATTTACCTTCGAATATTTGTAATCCCCAGATAGTATTTCTCTTAGTGGAGGCAGATTGCAAATTGGTTGGCCCCTTCTAGCATTTTCTGTGTCTCAACAGAAATATATATTTTTTTTGTCGGGGGGTGGCACTGGAATACCCCGTGGGGTGGATGTATTCTGTATGAATTTTATTCAACATATGCTAAAAAACTTAAAACTCGAAACACAAGTCGACTTGAAATGGGTTTTTTAACGCCTATAATTTCACGAGACAGAAAGGCAACTTTATAAGTTTTTTGCGAGGTTACTTTTAATTTTAGTGTTTATTATTGTTTTATTTATTTACCTGTGTGACGTTAGCGCTGCTGTCCCGTGAGGTCGGGGTTTCTCCTTTTGGCACTGTCTCCAGGGGGTAGGGCACCCCTCGATCGAGTTATACATCAGCGTAGCGGTATTGGTTTCACTTGGAGTCGGAACCTCTCCTTCCGGCACTGTCTCTAGGGGGATAGGACACCCCTGGGAAGGGTTATTCATCTGCGTAGCAGTGTTGATTTCCGGTGGGGTCAGGGTTTTTCCTTCCGGTATTGTCACTAGGGTGATAGGACACCCCTGGGAGGGGTTATTCATCTGCGTAGCAGTGTTGATTTCCCGTTGGGTCGGGGTTTCTCCTTCCAGCATCACACTAGGGGGATAGGACACCCCCTGGGATGAGTTATCCCTGGGGTCTGGGTTTCTCCTTCCGGCATTGTTAACAGTGAAACCGGGCGTTCCTGTGTCGGAGGTACACTTACCTATTTCGAGTAATATTTTCTCCAATTCATCATCGGAAGAAAATTCTAACAAATCTGGTATGTGAAAGACACCATACCGATTACGTCTTGATGAGGCTATCTGGGGGCTTCCCTCTCTGTCCGTCAGCGTTTAGGTTAAGCTTAAGCTAATTAACAGTCTAGCAGACGACAAGTGTTGGCTACCTACGAGATGGAAGTCAGTATTTAAGATAACAATGTTATGAAAAAAATGATTAATCTTTAAATAAAATAAAATGAATTAACAAATAATAATAGAAAAGTACAATCGTGCACCATTTATGATTTTTGTAATGTTTTTTTTTATATTTCTCGCAATTATCTCGGAGGAGGGGAGAAAACTCTTCTCAGAAACGGTACTATGCGTAGTAATATGAAGTGGTTATCAGCTGACTGGTTGTACGAGAATTGTTGTCATAACTCGCTCAAATGTTAAGATTTTTTCACAACCTCTTGATCATTACATTTATATTGTTACAAACAATGCAAAATATACAGTTGTTATGGTGTATAAGTGGAAACAAACGCCCGGTCGGTCAATACGTCACTACCGGGCTGTGTCGGGCTCTACAGAGCTGTAATTAGTAGCTTCTTATTACAAACAGGTTGACCTAAAGGCTTCTGTACATCTGAAGAAGAAGAAGTAGTTCAAAGTGTTTTCAGGAATATTATCCGTGATTATAATGGCATATTGCCTGCATTCCTCAACTTAGTTATTGAATGTAGTAATGCTAAATCGGGAAGATTATTCAGCGGTCTTAAACTTTTCTATGAATTAATGCGCAGCCCAGAGTGCGGATGTGTTTACACAAAGGACATTTTAGCCTTAGATGTTATCAAAGAATTACTGAAGGATGGAGTAGATGCGATTGAGAAACACCCTACCTCTAATCAGTCATTCTTGGCGTTGTTTGAATTTCTGTATGAAAGTTATTCTACCTTTGTTACCTTTATCTTTCTAATTAAACAAGGAGTCAACTGACCAAAGGTCAAGGTACCTAGGCAGGGCTTTATCACCGATCTCTTTAGGTCAGGTAAACGGATCCAATTCCAAATGAAAAATATGTGTGATTTTTCCCAATTTCCTACTTTAAAATTCCCAATTCAGATATTTAAAAAAAATAATGTACAAACAGCGATCGACACTTAACTAGCGGTGGTCCCGAGGCCGGAGGCTACCAAAACATCTTTCATATTCATTTTGAGAAGATTGACTTGGATTTCAGTCAGTTAGACGCTTGAGATACTGATATTAAGCGTCCCTGTCAATGCAATTATCTGGGTGATCGAGACTTAACAAAGCAGAAATTCCCCTAGTTTGCTTCATAGGCTTCTACGCTAATGACAGACATCCTTCAGCGTGTTCCATTTAGCGGAACGTTCCGGGTGTTCCGGTACGTACCATCCGTTCCGTTAAATGGAATGCGCGACGTTCCGCCGAAACGAACCGGTTCGTCGAGAACGTTTCATTTGAGGGTACCAAGTTGGATCCAATATGGCCGTCAATGAAAGATTTCCAATTCCAATGTCAAGCAAATGCGATATATATGTATGTATAATATGTTAAACACTATTTCAGCGGTTCCATATAATTTACATACTTCAACTGCGAGAATCTTAATTGTTTTTGCAGTTTTTTCGACTGAATCAGTGTAATATAGATATTTGTAGTGTGGGGTTATAATCGCCTACCAAAGATGGAACATTTTAACAGTCTACCTCTTTTATTTGCTCATGAACTCAATTGAAATTTTATTTAAAAAAAATGAAATGAAAAAACCCATGGAAATGGTAGCTTGACGACATAATATTCATCACATTTAAACTGAAAAATACTTGTTAAAATGACTATTTTGATTAATGAATGACTAAAATTGATCAGAAAGTGTATATCAATGTTCATGTGAAGAAACAAATTACATATATAGTTGCGTGTAGTATGAATAAAAAACACTAGTCAGTCTGGCAAGTAGATTTCAATTTTACTAGTCATGACTCCATGTGTAAATTAATGAACCAAATATTATTCAACATGTTAATTGATATCAAATTTTGACTAGACAATATATTTATATGGTCTAGTAGTTTTTATAACCACTACTGTACTGTAGTCGAGATGGAGGTTTCACTAGTCGTAGGCCAGCAGGCTACCCTTATTGTCCAGCCCTGCATAGTACATGGTTTATAATAATTCAATGAATTTGTTTCCAAATTAATTGAACCTGCAGATCCCATCTTACCAAATATGGCCTATCAAATGTTGGCCCATAAAGAAGACCTGAGCTCCATACTGGTTGGGCCATATCTGTTGGAAGTGGAAGGTAATTCTTTCAATCGTTATTGAAATTTTATTTTTAATCTGTGTATGTCCATTATTAAGTTGTTCGAGTTCTGATTTCTATTCTGAACTGATTTTCAAAAAGTGCCAGGCAAAACAACTGTACAAAAACATGTTTGGTTTATAAGGTTCCATGTTCTCCTGGAAGATTTTGGCTTTAAAATGTCAACCATGAATGTTTTAATAGTTTTATACAAGGTTAAAATAATTCCAAAAATATTTAACCTGCATATTTCTCATCAAATTGATACTAGATATTCTTACGGTGAATATCATACATAATTGACTGAAATATTATCAATGTCAAGTTAATGAACCAGTATGTAATTAAGGTGACACAGGCACAAACAATGCTGAAAAGGAGGCAACAGGAAGCCAGTCTGTCCATAAAGCTACAGGTAAGTGGTAAAGTTTTATATATGGTATAATATATACAGTATGCTAGATTGAACATCAATATTGGTAGTTTGGTACATTGACCAATATGGAATCCACCATTTTCTTTAAAATCTCTTGTTTTAAATAGGGTCAATTCAGATTTCAATTTCTATTCAAATACATCATTTAATCAATAATTTGATTGTATGATTTAAACATCTACCACTGCTTATAATTATATAATTAATGACAAAACATGAAACTTATCACTTATATGATTTCACAATATGCTATAATTACAGTATAACCTTTCTAAATTGGCCCCAGTCTAATCCAGATCCCTGCCATATTTATTTGATTTGATATCAGTTGAATTGAATATATTCATGCTTGAAAAAGGACTTTTTATATTTCGTTTTACATGTAATTTTCTCAGTGAAACATATAAGATGAAGTAATTAATATAACTAATATCTTATCAATGTCAACTTAATGAACCAGTATTACATTATGTAATTAAGGTGACACAGACACAAACAGTGCTGAAAAGGAGGCAACAGGAAGCCAGTCTCTCCATAAAGTTACAGGTAAGTGGTAAAGTTTCATATATGGTATAATATATAATATATACAGTATGCTGGATTGAACATCTATATTTCAATATTGGTACATTGACCAAGATGGAATCCACCATTTTCTTTAAAAACTTTTGTTTTAAATAGGGTCAATTCAGATTTCAATTTCTATTCAAACACATCATTTAATCAATAATTTGATTGTATGATTTAAACATCTACCACTGCTTATAATTATATAATTAATGACAAAACATGATTATCACTGGTTGACAATACATGATTATCACTGGTATGACTTCACAATTTGTTATAATTATTCAAATAGTAATATAAATGATTTGATGTATTATTTGTGAATGTTACTAGCATATTTTTATTTTAGGAATAGATGAAGCAAGTACAGAAGCAGATGGTAAAATTATGTTTATTGGTATTAAATGAATATATTGAAACACATTTTAATGTCTCCATTTAAGGTAAAGGGTACCTTTAAGTTCAAATACAGATTTACAGTTGTATAAAATATGAGGTTATGAAAACTAAAATACATGATATATGTAGGTCAAACTCGGGGCCTGTCCTCTGCCAATAGTACGCTCATACCTACCTAAAACGCTATCCAAAAATTTAAATTTCACACCATCAAAATGGGAGATTATTGCCTTTAAATTAATAAAATTGTTATACAAAGCTCTGTCCAATTTTTAAAAGTGTATTAGTTTTGTTGCATTGGTGTGTACAACATCCAACACAGACATTAACTCCAGGCCCAGTCGTATTACAGTTATTTTTACGTTACTGTTTTCTTGGCTCATGGATATTGACTGTCAGAAATATTTATATTGTTATAATTTATGCAAGCTCACATATGTATGTCATTACTGTATTGTTAAAAACTTTTGCTTTTATTTGCAAATGGAACAAAAGTTGAATCTACACATCTTACAAATTAATATCAAATTTATCAAAGGGAGATAATTTGACTTATTTTTTCTTACTAATGCCTCTGACATGTAAATGATATTCTTTTGGGCTTCTTTTTTAGCGAATTTACTTTTTTTAATAACATTTGTTTCTTAAAGCTGAGATACCACATCTTTACATATAGAACAAATTCAAATGTCATTTTGTGATAAAAAAAATATTTCTAAAAACATACGGTTCACCTCAAAGCTATAGTATATAACTGTAATGTATGACATGTCTTTGTATTGAACATCTTTTTTTCCCAGACAAATTCAACTGGACAGTCGAATCAACAAGACTTCTGATTAGCTTAAGGCAGGACCACCAAGCCATGTTTGACAGGTCAAACTTGACCAAAAAAAAGGTCTGGCAAATTATTGCCAATAAGTTTTCTGAAACGTGCAAGTCCAGCGTTGACTGGAGTCAACTAAAGGGAAAGTGGGCAAAGCTTGAGAGAAAGTTTAAGGATGTCAAGAGAGTGAATGGCAAGAGTGGAAGTGGAAGAAGAGAGTTTTTATATGAACGGGAAATGGAGGAGGCCATTGGGGGTAATCCCAATATTACTCCCATGGCCACCTACAGTTCTATGAATGATGAATGTGTCGGTGAGAATAGTGTGTGTGAAAATAGTAACAGTTTGAGTGAAAAGCCTAATGGAAGTAAGGGAGTGAAGAGAAAGAGAGAAAACATGTATGAGCTTTTGAGCGGAATGAGAGAGGAAAAGAAGAAGCAGCATGAGGAGAAAATGGAGGTGATGAATAAATTCTTAAACATATTCTCAAGAATGGTACCAGGAAATAATGAACAGTAACTTATATCGATGAAATAAATGCTTTCTCCAGAATGTGATTAAAGTTTTTTTTTACAACAGCAAATCAGCTATATAATCTCTCTTATGAACACCAGTAGTGTTCATGTTGTCAGCCTGGGTTTCATCATCTCCGTCTTCCTCAACCTCAGGTTCTGGAAGCATATCTGGACCGTCCTCCGCTAAAACGAAATTGTGCAAGACACAGCTTGCACAAATTACCCTACACATGCTATCAACATTTATCATCTCAAGATGATGGAGACGTCGCCATTTTATTTTGAGAAGACCAAAGGCCCTCTCCACTACGACACGTGTCGATGCATGCTTCCTATTGTAGTTTCGCTGCTTGGGTGACAGATGGCCATTGTCCCTATATGGTGTCATCATTGTCCTGAAATATATATTTTTTTCATTTTTAAGTAGACAGGTAAGAATTTTACCATACCCACCCTGTATCAAATAAGTGGGGAATTATAATGTGTTGAGCCGAAAGTATGGGTATGGCGCACTGTTGGCAGATATAGAATGCTTGACAGATATGGCAGTGCCTGCCAGGTATGATGCTTGCAGGGGAAATGGTGTAAGTACAATTAGCAGCATCGCATATACAAAAAACAACACATCATATAATCACTGTGTTAACAACACCGGATATTGGTACAAAGCAGGCGGTGATCACACGAAGTGGGCTTCTGTTGCAGGTGATTTTTTTCCTATAATTTCCTTACTTCAGAGGTTTGTATGGTCTTTGGCTTTTTTGTATCAATTCCTCACATTTTCAGCAATGGCTTAAACCACAGAGAACGTTCCTATATGGGTCAATATTTCTTCTAGACTTGCAAACACGCCGCCTGGTATCGGCGAAAACTCACGAATGATACTTACCACGTGTCTGAATTAGTATTGTAGTGGTGTGTGTTTTTTAACAAATTTCATTACCTAAAACTAATTAAAATGTATACATTTATCATATTTTCGAACTCGTAAATTATGAGAAATATGCTGACATAATTGCATAGCATTGTACGGCGACTTGCAATTTGCATGATGCCGTACAGTAATCTAAAAACAAACATTCAAGTTGCCGTACAGTTCGACGAAATATTTTTGACGATATTTCATATAATACAATGCTTTCACTGACATAATGAATGTGTGTAATGTAGATACATCTTTATTTAGCTGTAGACAATACATTAATTCAGACACGTGATGGTTATCGCTCGCAAGTTTCCGCCGATACCACACGACGTGTGTGTAAGTCTGGAAGACATATTGGCCCATTAATGGACGTTTTCTATGGATAATATAAACGCTGAAAATGTGAGGTATTGATCCTAAAATCCTCGAGCACATGACAGCCCCTGAATTAAGGAAAATATAGAAGAAAAACTCACTTTCAACTGCATCTCGTGTGATCACCGCCTGTTTGGAGGCAATATCCGGTGTCGTTAACACAAGTATTAATCAAAGAATATTGCACTCTATGTTTTAAATGCCAAAACCTGAACAGCACACAGCAATTATGGCAAATCTTACGTTTGATGAGGCGGAAATATGTTTTTATTGATTAGTAATCGTTAGCAAAAATGTCCGCTGTGTTTGCATTTCTTACATGCATTCTGCCCTTGAGTGTAACATTGAAACTTATTAATTTAACAGGGCACTAAAAGTTTAGTTGTCAATAGTAATAAATAGAAAGAAATAATAGAGCTGCTCTATCAAATCAAGTAGTGTGTAAAACATTAATTAAACACATACTTCGAAAGAGGATATGCCCCGTCTCCAATCAAGTGGCTCTGTGTCGGGAAAAGCTCCGATGCTTTAAGGCAGACACTACTGTTGGTGTAAATCCTGGCATCATGTACAGACCCTGGCCATCCAACGTATACATCGGTGAATCCCATTTAATGATCAGCCACTGCCTGAATTTACATTCAACAAAAAGGTGTGTCTTTATTTCACTTATTATTGCACAAGCCTTATTAAAAAAGTACATAGAGCACATCCGTTATCCTCAAGGTACAAACAACGCGGATAGGTAGATATTTATACTTTTGTATACTTTCTATAAAATAAAATGTTACTTATCGCTGTCAAAACTCATGATAAGTAGTAAATCTTCGGAATTGTATTATTTTAAACTTTTTTCTCTTACTTGGAGCACCAAGGAATGGTATTTTTTCCTGTTTAGGTAGGAGGACTTGTGGTCACTTGGAGCCGCAATTGGAATGTGAGTACCGTCTATAGCCCTAACAACTCCTGGGAACCCATTGACGGCCTGAAACTGCTCCTGTATCAGTTGTAGTCTTGCTCCTTGATATACGATGGTAATGTTATTCTTAGTGGACTAATTTACGTAAAATATATATGAAGGATATGCTATTAGGAAAGAAATTAATTGAAATAGGAAGAATACGGTACGTTTATGTAACAAAGGTTAACACAGTAAAGCATATGTGTATTTCAGACATTTGTAACGAATAGGTTTAGTATTTATGTGCCAAACGAATGCACCTAACAGCAAGAGTTGTCGCTCGTGTGAACTTTCAACGGCGCCATGTTTTAAGTTGACAGAAATATTGTGGCAATTCGTCATTGGGATTTAAACGCGATTTAATGTAGTTTGCAAGTGTTACATGCGTCTCATATGAAGTAAGTACTGAATATAGTATTTTAAAGAATCGTCGTTCGTTCACCATTGTATATATCTTACACGTTGCTAGCTAGGCTATGTGAACACAAGGGCTTGTAAGTTTCAAACTTGCTTATGAATTCGGGAAGATACTGGAATGTAAGTAGATTTTAAACTGAATTTATCCGAATGTTTATGAAATTGTCAAGTCCATAGTGGAAGGGACCTTAAACAAAATGTTATAACCCCAAATGAAGTAATTAATTGTTAAAGAACAATGTGCGGTTATTACCAGTTGGCCAAACGATGAATTCTTTCATCAAAGCCATGATAGCGTCGATCACACGGGATTTCGTCCTAGCGACGCTGCTTACTGTTATATTAAACCGATCGGCTATTTCCCGATGTGAGTCCTTGTTTGCCAGGTACCAAACTGTCACCAAAACCTGTTTCTCTAGCTGAATAGGTTCGCGACCTTGATCATGATATGTAGAAACTTTATCAGTGGCATAAATCAGGTTTGTTAATAAATTGAACGACCTCCGTGTCATTCTAAATTGAGAACGGAACTCAATTTCATCATAATTTGTAACAACATTTTCAACATACAGCGGAACGCGAACTCGGTATCGCGTCATACAAAACACAGCAGCTGCGGTTTCTAACATATCGTCGTCCTCATCATCAAAAAATGATAAAAAAGAATAAGACGCTGTAGCAATCGTGCTGATATCCGCCATGTTGGATCTAGCGTGCGGGGAACGTGATTGGAACGTACTGTACCATTTAGCGGAGCCGTTCCAAGTTGGCACAACCGGAACGTTCCGCTAAATGGAACACACTGCTTGTGTCAAGTTTTAGAAGGCATACAGTATACATAACACATGGAAATGACAATCGTTTATTTGATTTAAAACTCCCATAACACTTGAAGGAATTATAAATAAGTTACTTCTTGATTTGATATGGTATTGGTGGCATGGTCCCATTTGCTATTTATAGATTCATCATCATGTTGGTCTTGAAAGTCATTTTTCACTCAAAATCTAACCATTCAACAAATGTTATATCACAGTAACAACCTACATCAAGCTGAAAAAAAATTCACAAACATTATTTGATATAATTAGTTAATCAGTTATATAAAAAAGAATAACTTGTTTAATACAATTTGGGGCTTTCTCATGCTGCGCATAATCAATTCGGTCCAATAGCCCCAAAGTCATTGGGGTTTCATTCATTTCATATACATGTCATACACAGTTTACATCGTACAGGACCATTTTCCGCCTGGTTCTTCAGTAGGGCTCAGGACTCGCCTGGCGATGTAACCAAACTATGTATGATAGCAGTCTTTGTGGTACAGGACTTTCGCCTGGTTCTCCAAGAGGACTCAGGACCTCGCCTGGCCACAACCTGCTCATTCAATTTCAATTTCTTCATTTGTTCATTGTCTACCAGCTCTAAACTTTAATACTTACCTCATTTCCCTTAACCAGGACCGCCTTTTCCTGTTCATAGGATTAGGACTTGCACCTGGTAGGGAATCTTGAATTTATCTTCCTTCATGCTGGTAATTTTGTAATATATAT